CAATATCCCTTAGCTACAAGTCGAGCTTTTTATGCTTTGAATGCTCCCATCAGCTTGTACTTTGTTTTGAAACCCATTTCAACCCAATTGCATCTTTTCCATCAGGTAAATTAACCAAATCCCAATGTGCAATTTTCCTCAATAGATGACATTTCCTGCTTTCCAATTGCGGTAAGACGAGAAAACATTCTTTCACTATCTGCTGCTTTCTCAAATGATGAAATGGATCAACATTTGCAAAACATTGCAAATTGAACTAAAATCTCCTTCTGCAGTGAATGGCATCATCTTGAAACATGACCGCATCATCTTGAAACACCTCAAAATTCCTTGAACGTGAAGATGGTTGAATTTGTCGCCTTGGCCTAGTCACTGATTGAGAGAAACTTGAGACAATAGGTATCTCTTTTTCCACCAAATCCTCATCGTCAATAGGAATTTCAACAGTTGGTGTTATTTTTGCTTGACTTTCATCCCATCTCAAGCTGGCTAATTCATCAAATATAACATTTCTGCTGATAATAATTTTGCCACTAATAGGATTGTACAGCCTATAAGCTTTGGATTGTGACGAATAACCAACAAAAATACACTTTTCAGACTTGCCATCTAGTTTTTGTCATTTTTGTTGGTTAATTAAGGTATAGGCAATACAACCAAAAATTTTCAGGTGGCTGACAGAAGGCTTCATGCCTGACCAAACCTCATAAGGTGTACTGTTCCAAACAGCTTTGGTAGGAGATATATTCAACAAATAAGCTGATGTAGCTATTGCTTCCGCCCATAAATTGTTTGGAAGATTTTTGGCCTGCAATAAACTTCTCGCCATTTCAACAATAGTGCGATTTTTCCGCTCAGCAATGCCATTCTGCTCTGGTGTGTAAGGAGCTGTCAATTCCCTCCGAATGCCATTATTTTCACAAAATGAATCAAAATCAGCAGATAAGAATTCTCCTCCCCGGTCTGTGCGAAGAGTTTTGATGGTTCGGCTGCTTTGCTTTTCAACTAAAACTTTGAACTTCTGAAAATTTTGGAAAGTTTCTGACTTGGTAACCTGAAAATACACCTAGCTGAAACGACTACAGTCATCAGTAAACAACAAAAAATATTTTCTGCTTGGTAAACCTGAAAATTACACACCATCGCTGTAAACGACTACAGTCATCAGTAAACAACAAAAAGTATTGAAAACTCACTCCAATAGATTTTGTTTGCATTGGGTTTCCATCTTACAAATCTGGCATTGTACTTAAGTTCAAAAGGAACATTCAGATGCTCTCTTCACAACAAACTTTTACCAACAGGAATTGATTTTTCCTTGCAGTCTATTGCTTTCCGTAGATTTACAACCTTTCACATAATACCAATTTTGTCCAATTCCTTAGGCAACCCATAAACCATTTTCCTTTTTAAACTCATCAATTTTAACTCGCTTCCACATTTAGATGACTCCAACCTCAGGTTGCCACAAGGTAGAGTCATTAAGTTCATTGCCAGCAACTAAAGCACAACTTTCACCTCCAGACACATCAAGGGGAAACAAATTATTTTGAGCCATAGGAACACTAACAATAATTTTGCCAGATTTTTTATCTTTAATCTCGCAACAATTATTATCAAATAAAACTGAATACCCTTGTTCATTAATTGACCAACGCACAGCAAATTATTTGTCAAACTGGGTGCAAAATAAACATCATCTAGTAATTTCACATTACCGTTTGACCGGACTGCAATAGAGCCGATTCCTTCCACTTTTATCTTGGTATGAACCTTATACTTGCCTTCATTAGAGTGAGAAGTATCTTGCAATTTAGAGTGCAATAGGGTGAATTTGCAGCCTGTTATCTGACCCGACATGTGTGTGCTTGTAGCAAACCACTGTTAGATGAACCAAGTCGATCCCCCACAGCAAACACACTTTTCAGCCTTGCCATCTATCACCTGTGCGCGAACGCGTGACTGATCGAGGGCCTATTGGATGAAAATAAATTTATATTTCTATCTTGCTCAACATCTGAAATCTTACTGCATAGAACTGTGGGCCTTTTTCTTTCTTTTTTCAGCGATGTCACAAACAATAACTTCTATATATACACAGGATAGGCGTGCATTTTAACCTTTGCAAAACCTCTTGGGCCATGAATAATTTTTCTTCTGCCTCAACTTCTGCATAACTTGCCTTTTCTTTCTTTTTCAGCTTCCAACAATCTGCTTTCACATGGCCATAACCTTTGCAATGATAACATTGAACATTGCTGCTGTAATGCCTCTGTTCACCACTTTCTTTATAATCATCATGCTCATAAGATCTTCCTTTGCCTCTTCCTCTTCCTCTGCTACTGCCTCTACCGCTGCGTCCTCCTCTATTATGTTCTTTTCCTCTACCAGCAGTTCTTGAGTCACCGAATGATGAGGAAGCTTTAACCTGCTTATCTTCTGTTTTCACCGAAGATCTGCTGTTCATTCTTGCTTCATGAGATTGCAATGACCCTTTTAGATCATCAAAGGACAGAGTAGACAAGTCCTTGGATTCTTCTATAGCAACAGCTACATGGTCAAATCTAGAAGTTAAACTCCTTAGAAGTTTCTCAACCACAGTTTGATCAATAATTTTTTCACCATATGATCTCAACTGATTCACAATTGTGGACACTCTAGACATGAAACCTTGTATCGTCTCATCCACATTTGATCATATAATTTTTTCACCATATGATTCTCGAACCTGTATTCAACAATTGTGGGACACTTCTAGGACATGAATAGGCCTTGGTCATCGCGCATTCTAGTCATTGCAGTGCGAGTGCAAAATACATTCCTCAAATTCACGGCCCGTGAAGGTGTTTGAAGTTTGGCCGGTCTCAAAGGACGTTCTTCCGCAGTATTTCTCTTTCCTTGGCAATTATTACTCCCATGCTTGCTTGGACTATTTCTGCTGCAATCCGGGAGAATACACTTTTGCGAATACAGATTGAACCAGCTTGTTAATGCTGAATAAGAGCTTGTTATCTTTTTTTTCTGTTCTCTTTGAGTCTTGCTTCATCAGGCATCAGTAGCTGGCAAAACCTTTTTTCAACTAATTCCCAAACATCTTGGATTTGAAGAGGGTCTTCATTTTGATTTGCCTCCAAAATCATACTTTCTCCATCAAAAGGGTATGGAGTGGCTGTGTGGAAAAGAGGGAGACGCCATTTACAGCCATGAACCTAAGTTCCTAATTGTATTTTCACTCCCTCACGTGTCTCTCTTTCACTTCTATTGGGAAACTCACACTATCCAGACAAGAACCTGAACCAGCTCTTTGATACCACAATGTTGGATAAAAACAGAAGAACCTTGAATCTGCAATTGTATTCAAGCTAAACAAATGAAAGGAAACTGAAACTGGAAAATACAATTAAATGATAGCAAAGAAAATGAAGAAAACCACACTTTATTGGATGAATTAAACACAGAGAGTTGAAGCTTATTTATAGCCATTTACTTTTTAAACAATAACTAGTAGACCAAATATTGACAACTAACAGTTAACATTGACTTGACCTTAACAAACTATCAGAATAAAATAGAGAAAACTTAATAGCAAATAGTCTAAACTGAACAGGATATTATTGAATCAATCTTTAACAAAAAATAATAATAATTATATATCATAATATTATAAAGTAACATGACTTGACCTTAACAAACTATCAGATAAAATAGGAGAACTAATAGCAAATATCTAAACTGAACAGATTATTATTTGAATCAATCTTTAACAAAAATAATAATAATTATATATCATAATATTATAAATATGCAAAAATTACTGTTTAATTATCAGCTGCGAATTAAAAAAATAAATAAGAACTGTAATATTGTAATTGCTGTGCTTAACGCGGAACACCTGAAATAAAAGGGAAACAGGAACTCAATCAACGATTTAACACGTGCGTAAGTTACACCTTCGACTTGTTGGCATAATTGGCATATACGGATAACGAAAGTGAATCACCATCCACTCCTCTCTTTACACGAATCCCCTCCTCAGTCCCCACGTACGTACCCCACCAATATCACCCTGGGCCCACCCTCTCTCACCTTCAACTTAATTAATTAAAATCAATTAATTAGTCAAATTAGTAGGAGTAAATCAAAAAGCAACATAAACAATGATTAAAATTGGCAGAAGCGGCGGTGGTACAAACTACAAAGCAATCGCACCAGTAGTACCATTGCCACTGAAACCACATTTGTTTGGCCACCTCCACTACATTAAAAAAATAGCACAGAAAGTCATCTTTTTAAAAAACTTTATTAAAAAAAATTTTAAAAAGGTAAATTGCAAATACACTTTTGAGATATTTAAAAATACACTATATTGTATTATTTTATATTATATTTTATTATATTACTTCCTAATTGTAATGTTTCTTGACTTTTTATAAAAATTAAAAAAAATTATTGAATACATCAATTTCTAGAAAAATAAATTTTTTTATGATTTAGCATAAGATAAAAATTCGTAAAAATATATAAATAAGAGTAAAATTAGGATAAAATAAATAATATATTTTCATTTTATAAAATAAACAATTTCGAAATTGATACAACATAAACATCTATTTATTTAGGAAAAGTAAAATTTTAATATCTCATAAAAATTATTACTTTAATTAAAATAATACATTCCTTAAAATTTTAGAAATACTATGTTTTTTAAATTCATCAGATTTTCATTTTTATACTCAAACTTATCTAAAATACATATTTGAAATACTCGATCCCATTATCATTAAATATTTAATAAAGTTAATTATTAATTTTAAAATAGAAATAAAATCAATTTTTCTGAGAAGTAAAAATAGAATCAATTTTGATTTGAGTTTGAATTAATAAATTATTAGAAATTATTAAAGAGAAATTATATTATATGAAAAATATAAATGAGGTTGTTGTAAATCTGTAATATTATTATACTTCAATCAGGTTATTGTAAACTTGTAATACTGTGATGGCGATAGAGGAGGAGGAGAGAGAATGAATATGTCCTGTTCTCTGTTTAGCCTATAAATATTGAAAGAAGACGCATTTGTTTCGAAATAAACAGAGCTCCTTCAGTTCTCGCTTCAGCTCTACTGTTGGGCAGCGTTTTTTTAATCAGTTACAAGAGATAAAGAGAAAGAGAGACAAACTGATGGATAGCTATTCGATTCATTTAGCCATGGCGGCTCTGGTTGGAGCCTCGCTGGTGGCAGTATCCGCGTATTATATGCACCGGAAAACCCTAACTCAGTTGCTGGAGTTTGCCAAGACTGTGGAGAGAGAAAGAGATAGGGAAAGGGACGATAACTCGGACGGAGACTCTCCGCAGCATTTGAAGAAGCGCCGTAGCCATAGTCGGAGGAAGGGAAACGGCTACTACCGCCGTGTCTCTAATTCGTTGCCGGATGTGATGGCCATATCTGGTGGCGATGGTGGAGTCGACGGTGAGCAGAAGCGGAATGGCCCGCTGCACGTAGACGGTATTCCTCCAGGATTACCGAGGCTACATACGCTACCTCAAGGTATGGCCTTATCCGACTTTTTGCTGGAGATACAACTGGCTTGAATTTACGACTGTGTTATTTTTAATTCTTTATAGATTATATAACTATGTAGTAACATTTATGTCAAATGGTTTAAAGAAATATTTAATAACCCAGAGAGTTTACTTATCGAAATATATTCTTAATTGCTATTTGTATAAATATAAAATATAATTTTTGCTTGCTGATCTTGTTTTGATATAAAAAATATAAAACTGCATTTTTGTGCTGATATAGTTTATGTGAGTATTTGGATTTCTAGTTTATGGAAAATTTGTTGGTAATATGCTTCCTGGTATAAATGAATTGGAACCTCAATGATCATGTTATGGAGAAGCAAGCAAATTTATCTAGTATCCAGTCAAAATCTTCCACCTGTCTACCAATTCTGTAAAAACTGTTGCATTGCAGATATTGACAGCTTTCAATTCTTCCTTTACCTTTTTGTTGCGAGGAAGTGACAATTTTAAAAATTAGAATTTTTCACAAAAGAGAGGGCTTTATACCATTTTGAGCCAAGTAAAAAACAAAGCAACCTTTAAATCTAGGCTGCGAAAATAGACAGAATGTGGCTAATCCTCTACTAGAAGTTATCAGGATAGAACTAGTCTTTTTTGTTTAGAGCATCTTCATCTAACAAAAAAGATTTCAGAATCCAAAGCCAGGAAAATATAGATGTTGAGAACACAACTCATCCCAATTACCAATTGAAGTACTTCTGAATCCTTGTTACTTTCTTTATCCACCTAATTTTAGTGTGTTCCACCAATAGCTGGATTAGGTTGGAGTTGAGCTTCTTTGTTCCTGTTAATGAATTCTAATACCTTGTGTGCTTGTTGCTATGGAGAAGGGCATAAAATCTAGCATAATGACTTGGAATTCTGTTAATTATTTCCTTCTTTGCTTTCTTCTTTCTCCTTCTTCTTTTAGAATGAGAGATTGGAGTCCTGTTTTTCTGATTAAATGGAGTATCATTCTGTTTCAGGGAAAGCTGCAGGCCAGGCCAGGAGAACTGGAAGTCTTCTTAGACCAACATCTCCAAAATCTCCTGTTGCTAGTGCTAGCGCCTTTGAGAGCATGGATGGATCAGATGAAGAAGATAATATGACCGACAACTCTAAGCTAGACGCTACGTATCTGCACACTAATGGAAATGCTGTGAGTTATTATGCGCTTATTGTTGCGCATTCCTTACTTCTAAAAATGAGCACATCTCTTGGTCTACCTCTTATTGAGAAAATCTCTCTGTCTTTTCTCTCATACACATTCACACAAACAAATGCACAAAAGTACTCAGTCCTCCTTTTGTCAAGATTTTTTGGTGACCTTTTAATTATGTTCTGCACTTTTTGGAGGATTTACAGACATTATTTTTAACTCTCTCATGTCCAGGGCCCTGAGGTTAAAGGCCTATTTGAAAATTTACCAGCAAATATTAATGCCAATGGAGAGCAAATGCCTATGCCTGCTTCAAGCATGATTCGGTCCCATAGTGTATCTGGTGACTTGCATGGTGTTCAACCTGATCCTATTGCTGCAGATATTCTAAGAAAAGAGCCGGAACAAGAAACGTTTGCTCGGCTTAAAATAAGCCCTACTGGTACTTATTCTGTCTCTACTTGCTTTGAATTATTGCTGCTTGCATACATGTGCTAAATATGAAGCAGCAAACATTTTAAGGTTTCATCTCTGTCTGTTTCATGTACTTTATTGCAGCGGCCCAGTTATCAAACAGTTTCTATGTGATAACTCAGTTCAAGATGACAAATGTAACAAATATAGTGATAAAGTTCAACTATGGGAAGGAGAACCTTTGCTTTTTAAAGTGGAAAATGAATATTATCAATTATGTTAAAGAGAATAGTTTGGAATTTGTTTCTGTGAATATGATATTCATATTGTACCCTCATAAAATTATCTTTGCTTCTGTTAATTTATTTGTGGCGGTGCTACTCATTTGAACAGTATGTTCCTCTTAGTTTGCAATTGGATAAGTTCCTATTAGGATTTCAATGCTCAGTTAATTTTTACTATGGGTCTCTTTTTTTTTTTTTTTTCTTTTTTCGTGCATATTTTTTGTGGTTTCAGATAGAGATTTTAACAACTACTTTTCTTCTCATACCCTTTAGTTAATGTGTGATTTTAAACAGAGGTGCCGTCTCCTGATGAAGTGGAGTCCTATATAGTTCTTCAAGAATGCCTTGAAATGCGAAAAAGATATGTGTTTAAGGAAGCTATCGCTCCATGGGAGAAAGAAGTTATTTCTGACCCCAGTACACCAAAGCCTAATCCAGAACCATTCTTCTATGCTCCAGAGGGGAAGTCTGATGTGAGTCCTACTCATTTGCTTCTGGTACTTTATGAAACTATTACCTAGGATTTCTTATTCTTCATTTGCACGTTCAATGTTTTTGCAGCATTATTTTGAGATGCAAGATGGGGTTATTCACGTGTATCCAGATAACGATTGTAAGCCAAGAATTCAATCTCCGTTTTTCTGTCTTGTTCACTATGTTCTATTATTGGGATGTCTATGTAACCTTACTTTTCCTTATTATTTTTTCCCAGCCAAGGAAGAGCTCTTTCCTGTTGCTGATGCAACAACCTTCTTCACCGATTTGCATCACATACTTCGAGTTATTGCAGCTGGGAATATCAGAACTTTATGCCATCATCGGCTGAATCTTCTAGAACAAGTATATATGCTTTTATTTTTGTGGCAGCAGCTTAATTGCAAGCCTGTTTCTTAGTGATAAACGACTTACCTTTGTATTTTTTTTTTTAAATTGTTCAGAAGTTCAATCTTCATTTGATGCTTAATGCGGATAGGGAGTTCCTTGCTCAGAAAAGTGCTCCTCATCGTGACTTTTATAATGTGAGGAAAGTTGACACACATGTTCATCATTCAGCATGCATGAACCAGAAACATCTTTTAAGGTTTATAAAGTCAAAATTGAGGAAAGAGCCTGATGAGGTAAGACATTGAACTCTCTGCTAGTCTGCTTATGCATTGGGAGCTGAGTCTGCAGCTAATAATTCTTTGAGTCGACTAATATTCTGCAAATAAATTTCTTGCCTGTACAGCCACATAAAATAAAGTACTAGTGTAGTCTGTATTTGGTGAAAAGTGCATGAAATATCTTTTGATGTATTGAAGTTTATCTGTCATTTTTAAGGTTGTGATATTTCGGGATGGGACATACTTGACTTTGAAGGAAGTTTTTGAGAGCTTGGATTTGACAGGGTAAGTGTTTGATAGCCTGTGTTTAACTGGGTAATTTTTTTTTTTTTTCAATTTTATATTGGTTTGGATGCAGCATTTAGTTATATGCATATGTCTGAGCAGGTATGACCTTAGTGTTGACCTTTTGGATGTTCATGCTGACAAGAGCACGTTTCACCGTTTTGATAAGTTCAACCTTAAGTACAATCCATGTGGCCAGAGTAGGCTCAGGGAGATTTTTCTGAAGCAGGATAATCTTATCCAAGGTACGTCATGTTTTCTTAATTTGTTCTTTACACTGGGTTAGAAGGTTAGGTGCTGAAGTCAGCCTTAATAATTAGAGATTTCTTATGAGTTCTAGGATTTTTTTTTTTTTTTTTTTTTCTGGGGTTAGAAGTTAGGTGCTGAAGTCAAGCCCTTTAATAATTAGAGATTCTTATGAGTTTCTAGGATTTTTTTTTTTTTTTTTTTTTTTTTTTTTTTTTTTTTTGGGTTGGTGATTGTTTCAGATTGCTGGTACTGGATCTTCACAAGAATTGAGAATTTATTCCTGCTTTACATGCATGCTTCTCTCATTAGATTTTCTTTATTTTTTTATATTGTAATAAGATTTTTTTATTTTGTTTACTCTTACTAACATGCAAGCTGATGTTCTTATTTTGTTGTACACATTCTGTGATCATCTTATCTTGTCTGTGGGTAAGCAGGTCGTTTCCTTGCTGAGCTGACCAAGCAGGTGTTCTCTGATCTTTCTTCAAGTAAATATCAGGTGTTTCCTTGATCTGTTTATAGATGAATTTTTATGCACAGCATGATTCTATTTCGTTTCATAGCCATGGTCTTGGATTCATTATTTAACTCTTAAGAGTGCTTAAGTTAGTCAGTTAGAAAATAGAATCTTTAGTTGGATATGTTTTTCTTTTCCTCTTTTTTGGTTTTTCTATGACCAAGAGCAGGGGGTTAAAATTCTTAAATGATTATTAGACTATTTTTGGCACAGAAACTTATCCAAAGATATTGTTGTGGTTCTATTTGTTTTTAAATTTGAGAGCTTGCTAATGTTAATACTATCATGTCAGACACTGTTAACTTAATCTGGTTATTAATAGTCAGTCAACTAGCACGTTACATAATTTAATATGAAATTTTGAAAATTTGTGCGATGTGTTCTGCATAGTTTCTGGGGATATTATTCTTGATCAAACTCAAATGTTCTTTATTAACCTTCATGTACTGTCTGGGAACTAATGTGAAGCTTATGCTGTTCAACTTTTTGGCCAGTCACGGTTGCATGTAACTGCATTCTGTTTATGAAGATCATCAACTGCTTTATCTAAACTGCATTATGCAAGTGTTGCAGAGTTTTAGAAGATCTTGTAGGTGTTGAAATTTTGTCTAATACGTGATTTTTGTGGTTACAGATGGCTGAATATCGAATATCTATATATGGTCGGAAGCAAAGTGAATGGGACCAATTGGCCAGCTGGATAGTGAATAATGAATTGTACAGTGAGAATGTTGTTTGGTTAATTCAGGTACCAGCAACAATCTGTCTGAATTCCTCTTATGAAAGTTGTGTGTGTTGTCATACATTTGTCAAAACAAATTTCTTTCCCTACTCATTAAATTTTCTCTGTATAAGTGGACATGCTTGTACATTAATGATTAAGATTTAATTAACGTAAATTCATGTGCATCTGTTTTATGTTGTGAAATTATATCTAGTTCCTTACTGATATGATTAAAATCTGTGCCCTCTGGAAACCCACATTTGCCCATTGTCAACTTCAAGAAACTGCATTTTTTTTATTTCTTAAAGTGGACTTTCTTTGAGGATGGTGATTCTCGACTATTTAGGAGCCCAATCTCAACTAAGAAATGCTGAGATATCTAAATATATTTTGGTCAATTATTTGGCTTTTTAAATGTTGTCACCTTTTTTACTTCCACAGAAGAAACAATTGTTGAGTTTATTATCACTGAGTTCCTATCGTGTAATATCTGGTTCTCTTTGCAGCTGCCAAGACTTTACAATGTGTACAAGGAAATGGGTATTGTGACATCATTTCAGAACATTCTGGACAATATCTTTATTCCACTCTTTGAGGTTACTGTGGATCCAGATTCTCATCCTCAGTTGCACGTTTTCTTGAAGCAGGTTTGCCATTCTTGGCTTGTGGGATCTTCTATTCTTTTTCTAAACTTCCTAAAGTGTAGAAGATATGGATTTTCAATTTCGTGTAGATACGCATTACATACCATTTTATGTCATTAAGAACAATAGTTATATGTGAAGATCAATTGCATATCCGAAAAAACTTGTTTTGCATTTTTTTTTTTTTTTGCTTCATCTGTTCAATTACTTCTTTGTCTTTTTCTGCTGTGCATCTTCATCTGTTCAATAAGTTCTGATACTTATTTTTGAAACTAGTAATCAGCCATTTCCCCATCAATTAAAGATCAATGCTATTTTAGAAGAATTGTTGATGAAGATCAGGAAGTCAATTGGAAATCTGCCATACTATATTAGCTGTTAAGTTGAACTGGCAATGTCTGGCAGGATTGTGAAGGAATTGACCTATTATGGATAAGAAAAAAGTGAACTAGGTGAATTCTGTGGATCAAGTACATACTAGCAACGCATAAAATAATTTAGGTCTCAGGGATGTTTACATTTTTGTCCTTTATTTTCACTCTGCCCTCTCCCCCCGCCCCCTACCCCACATATACATATAATTCATGGGCACAGGAACTTAATTGGATTCCAAAGATAACTGTGGCCGTCATCCAAGTGAATGATGTCTGACTTGGCTTTTTTTTCATTCTCAGGTTGTTGGATTGGATTTGGTTGATGATGAAAGCAAGCCTGAAAGACGCCCCACAAAGCACATGCCTACACCAGCTCAGTGGACAAATGTGTTCAATCCTGCATTTTCATATTATGTGTATTACTGTTATGCCAACCTGTACACATTAAACAAGGTGATTGCTGCAATTTAGTGTTCTTTTTGGATGCTTGTCAAAGCCCATTCACCCTCATTTTTCTAAGTCTTTTTCTTGAAAAGTTGTCCTTTTTCCCATTATTGTTATTTTTCCCCTCATGAGAATGAGATATATGAAACATTTTCAGCTCTTAGATTTTGAATGTCATAATTCAGTATGGAGACTAATGGAAACATGGCATGACCCAATGTATCATTTGTTGTTGTTTTTTTTTTTTTTTTTTTTTTTTTTCCTGTTACAATTTTATTTTCCAGCTTCGTGAATCAAAGGGCATGACAACCATCAAATTCCGACCACATTCTGGAGAGGTATTAATGGAAGCTTCATTCTAAATATTCTACATATAGGTTTTTTGCGTGCATCTCATGCATATGTCATTACCAGGCTGGTGACATTGACCATCTTGCTGCAACATTTCTTACGGCTCATAACATTGCTCACGGTATCAATTTGAGAAAATCTCCCGTACTTCAGTATTTGTACTATCTAGCACAGGTAATTTCTTTTTCTGAAGGGGGGGGGGGGGTGTTTGGCAGGTAGTTATTTCTGACTTCATTAGTTGTGATATCTAAATGGCAATCGTGGCATGTCTTTTATCAGATTGGTCTGGCAATGTCCCCTCTGAGCAACAATTCCTTATTTTTGGACTATCATCGGAATCCATTTCCCATGTTTTTCCTACGGGGTCTCAATGTTTCCCTTTCAACAGATGATCCACTGCAAATCCACCTGACAAAAGAACCTTTGGTGGAAGAGTATAGCATAGCTGCTTCTGTGAGCTCTCTTTTACTCATTTGAAGCGGAAAATTTTCAGTTCTTATGGTCAAAATATATTAAAATATTTCCCCAACAGGTATGGAAGTTAAGTTCATGTGATCTGTGTGAGATAGCACGGAATTCAGTCTACCAGTCAGGCTTCTCACATGCTTTAAAGGTATATACTTTGTCCTAGCTTGATAAAAGATGCTGACGTGTTGGCCCACGTGGGTCAGTAACGAGGATGTGGATGGGAATGTTGGAGCTGGCAATAAATTGATTATATTCCTATTGTCCTAGTACTGCCAAGTCCAAATAGCTGTCGGTGCCCATTCAAGAGAGAATATGATGAAAATATACATGAAAATAATTTTTTAGTTTAACAAAAGAAACATTTTCATGTTGGGCGGAGCACAGTTTGGAAAAAACAATTTTCTTTTTGGGTTTGGTTAAGTTGTTATTGAACTTGAAAAATAAGCTCAAATTTGCCCCAAAATAGTTAAAATCAAATCGAATCGAACTGGTTATGTTCAGATTACGTCTAAAAAAAATTGGTCCATTTGGTTTGTATTGATTTGAGTCAATTTGAACCAAAATGAGTAAATGCTGAACCCTACATTCATGAACTGATGTCCGAAATTGGGAAAAAGGAAATGATAGTATGTGCTGATTAGGATTTTTCTCCGTATTAAATTGTCTATCGGTATTATAGGAATATCACTACGTAACTAATTCTACTAAAGTGAATACATCTGACAATCAGTGCTTTGAACATTACTAGCATCTGGTGATTTTAACTTTCTGGAGCAAAATTTACTGCAGTTCAACTATTTTGGATGCTATATGATTTTGTAATTTTTAAATCCTTGTGTTGTTTTTGGTTCATGTAAAGTTGCCTTATTGCATTTCTGTTTCAGTCGCACTGGATTGGGAAAGAGTACTACAGGAGAGGTCCAGATGGAAATGACATTCACAGGACAAATGTGCCTCATATCCGCGTGGAGTTTCGTGATACGGTAAAGAACTGTACTTTTTCATCATTAGCTTGTCCAAAGCTTCTATTTTCTCTTGAAATGACCCTTAGAATGCATGTGACATCAAGAGTTTGCCCTGCCTAATGATGTCAGATTAACCCATGCCTCTTGCAGATATGGAGAGAGGAGATGCAACAGGTGTATCTTGGAAAGGCCATTATCCCCGAGGAAGTGGAGAAATAAATTAGTGAAGAATTGCTGTTAATCCATCCTTAGATGAGATTATATGCAACTCTAAAGGTGCTCTGAATCATATTTTTTTACTTGATGACCGTTTATCTGAAATTTGTCTTTATAAACTTGGCTTTTCCTTCATTTTAGGAAGGGAAGAACTTCTACTTGCTCGTTAGAATTTTGAGAAGGGCAGTATACTCCTGATCATGCTAACTAAAATGGCATGGTTGAATCGATGCCAAGATATGGAAGTTACATTGTTGGAGCACAAGTCTTGTACCTGATAAAATTGCTGACTTCTGGATCTTCAGCATCTCAGATAACATCTGGTTTAGCAAGATGCTAACCGTCGACTAACTAAAATAACTAAATGTGATCGTGTTAGATGTAGCTTAAGATAGAAATAATATTATACTAGCATAGGATAGAATTATGTTTGGTTGGAATATAATGGACAATGAAATTCACAGCCGCAAGAGAGATGTAATCGATGCAGTTTTGTATTTCAGATGAAAGCTTCATCAAATTTTGATTGAATTTCATAGTATTTAATGTGAATCTGGCTGGTCATAAGTATGAGTAAAAATTTTGAATTTGTGCCCGTTTTAGCGGAGAAATTTTTTAGTTGATCCTTTTTTAATTTTCACATTATGAGAAATTGATCCTACATTATAGTGCTTCCCGTGAGGGTGAAAGAAATTTTCTCATTGCTTTCATTTTACTACATAAAATTTAGTAGCTGCTCTAGTCTGGATTTTGTAATCTGTAAACTGCTAATATTGTGTATATATACGCCTTCATCTGGTATGTCGTAGATCAGGTGCTGGTTGGTGCATCCTTTTCATTTTTAAGTATATTAAAGTATTATAAATTTCTTCTCGCGCTTTTATCTCTTATCAATTCGATCAATATTTGTATCTTGACTTTTATTTCTTCCTTTTAAGTCTGTAGGATATAATATTAGAAATTTTATTGTTATATAAATTGATGTTCAATGTGCTTAACAGTGAGATTAGAGACAATGAGTGAGATTAAGCATGATCCAACCCATGAAAGTATTTCAAAACTCAAATCTCAAAAAATAAAAGACTAGGCATTTGCTTAGCTCTCCTTTTTGTAGTCCGAAATTAGCATGCTTTTAGGAGCAAATGAAAAAATAGGGAGTACCAGGGGTCGGAAACGGGGTGTTGCAGTCAAATGCGTCATAGTTAAACCATTGACAAGTAAATAAAATCTGATCTCTTATCCTGAGAGAGAGGGACAGAGAAATGGACAGTAACGAAGAATCTTGGAAAAACTCCATTAAATTCGAAGCATATTATTTTCGTTAAATATCTCAACATAACATGTAGTATAATAGCAGTTTGATTCAATGTATTGGTGCACTTTGAAACACCATGGAAACAATTGTCAGACCACAAAAAATGGTATAATCATCAATTCTCCGCGTAACCAAAAAAATGGAAGTGCTCCGAGCAAGAAGAGACACAATAGAATTAATTAAGTGTATGCTTCTACTTTTTCGCTTTGTACTGTTTTCTCTCTTTAATAATACCGTCTGTGAGTGAATCAACATCATTGTTCTTCCCAAAGAACTTGACAAATTGCATATCAGGACCCATCAAGTACCTGCACAAGATCATTGATATCGTTAGAAAACAAAAGTGGAAAAACGATGGCCGTAAATTCAAAAGATCATTTTGATCTGAAGTTTATCCAACAAATACAGTAACCAATTTCACTAAGCAGTTTATAAACGCAAATCAACAAAAGCACAGCATTAAAATACTCAAACATGTGAGAAGGAAAATGGAGGTGGGAAATTCAAGAATAAAATGTTATTGAAAACATGACATAGAATCCATTTAACAACTCCTCGGATGAAACCCCCATGGGAAATTAGCATATTGTACAATTTTTAGAAACAAATTATTCGTTTCACATTTCTTTGTGCATGTTCAATTGATAAACAAGAGAACTTATAACTTCTCACCTTTGTACTCCACTACATTTTATCACCAATTCGAGAATTATATTTGCACTATGGTTATATTTTTCCTTCAATTATAATGGTTATTGTCATGGTCAATGTCAAAGTGAGATGGAAGTAATGAGCAATGGTGGCTGCAGTTGCAGGGAGGTGTAGATGGCAACAATAGCAACAGCTCGTGATAAATGCTATTGGTAGTTTCGGGCCATCGAAGGTGCTGGTGGGGGCAGTAACAGTAGGTGGTAGGTAGTGTCAATAGTAAGAATAAGGTGGTGCAAGCCTAAAAGCACTGGAAAAGGCTCTGATGATGATGAAGGCATGTGGTGGTGCCAACAATGTGATTGTGATGAGAAAAAAGGTGTGCATGTGCTCAATTATAAATCATGCAAAAACGAGTGGAATTTTATAAAGGAAACAGTATGAATTAGTTTTAATTATTTTTCAAATATCCATATAAATTTGAAAAATCTTTTCTGGAATATTATTACGTTCAAATAAAAAAAATTGCAATTGCCTATTTTAATTGGCCTAATTTTACAGAAGTGAGGACACATGTATATGTAGTATTAAATGCCAATAATAGATACATACATGACTATAGAATGATCAACCAGGTAATCTGAATCTTCCTCTGCTGTCTTCATATAATAGACACGATATGCACGGGCAGCTTTCCTTATCTCATCTGGGTCGCCGGTTAACCCAATTAATTTTGGATGAAATTCTGGAACAGAAAAAAGAATCATACCATATGAACACAATTATAACAGTACAAGTATAATAAGAGAAATAAATTAACAGCATGCCATAGAAATAAGTTAAGAACCTTTGACATATTCACGCACTTGTTCAACGGTATCTCTCTCAGGATCTACAGAGATGAATAGAGGTACAATTTCAAAACCTGCCTTTTCCTCTACAAACAAGGAAACAATAAAAGAAATCATCAATATAGCATCATTCAATAGAGGGTTGTAAAGAATGCAACTCTATGCACACATTTAAATCAAAACACGATGCTAAAAATTTGCAATTGATGGCCTTGAATAAGTTTTTGACTATTAAAATCTGATCCCGGTTGCAAAAGGAAATTGCTTTGAGCAAGACTGGAAACAAGGTTTAAAAACCCCTAAATAAGATTGATACACTATGGCAAGTTAATTAACCCCTCAATCACCCTTCAGATCCAGTAACCATGACAGAAGAAGTGGTATAGGAAGTATTCATCTTGGCTATATGCCATGGCTTAGGTAGCCATGTATTTGGCAAACATATACCAGCCCACGAATTTAATGTACCATGAAATCAAATCAAAAGTGCTCTAATAGTACCAGCAAGATTAATTCAGACCTATCAGTTTTGAGTACAATTACTTAACACATGCTCAAATGCCGGAATACAGCTTCTGTGCTCTCCCAAAATCAGAAGGCAAGAGTATCAGCATTAATTATCAGATTATAAGTTGCTCTACAGGACAAAACTCATGTCTGGCGGTCTAATCTTTAATTATACATCAGGAAATGAAGAAATCAGTGACTCACTTATTTTATCAACTGCAGCAGCAAGCTTTTGCAGCTCATCTGGGCAAATATCAGGGCAGTGAGTAAATCCAAAATATATTAACGTCCATTTCCCCATAAAATCTTTTTCCGTCACATTCTTCCCATCATGGTTGATGAGATTAAATGGGCCACCAATGGCTGCTTTCCCGACAGATGGTCCTTCTTTTACAGCTTCAGAAGCTTTGTTTATTTCTGCAAATATAAGAATTAATCAGAACATGAAAATGAGAAACATGCAATATTACTCGAAGAGCAGAATTTAAAATGGATACTTTATTGCGTCATTCAAAACAGTGAAGGCAAACTTCCATAAAACAAATCCGATAGGCATGGCAAGCAGCTCAAGTACTGGCTTAAAAGTTTTCTTTTTCTCCTCAAAGTAAACATGAAAAATAACAAAAATTAAGTTATGCAACCAAGAGGTATTTAATGTGTATGCGACAAGTTAGACTGACCAGAGACTATAATTCTTTGACCAATCTATCACTTCTACTATATTGTGAAAAAAAAGGAAAAATAATAAGCTTGGTAGCAAAGATAATAGCTTTACTCGACAGATCAATCTACCTAAAAGAAAACAGATCATTTTACAAACATCCAACTCACCGTTAGAAGTCTACCTTCAATATGCCGCTTCTTCTCATTGTCGTAGTAAGAAATTATTCCGGCTCCAGTGGCCACCAACAACAGAAAACTCAACCACGAAACAGGCTGAAAAAACGAGAATCTCGACTCATAAATGAACCCAAGCAATAGATATGAAATAAGAGAGAGAGAGAGAGAGAGAGAGAGAGAGAGAGAGAGAGAGAGATTTACCCCTCCGCGTACAGATTTTCCAGCATCGCTGCTCTGCTGCGAATCGCCGGACTTGTCACCTCCATCAGATTTAGTTTTTTCAGCTTTTGTTGAAATTTCCGAGCTTACAGGAGCTCCATTTGTACTAAAGAAAAATCTTTGATAGACGCGCAGAGATTGGGCTCCTACACCTACAGGTATGACCTAATTAAAAGAATTTAAAAGAAAGGAAGATATTAACCAAAGTGAAACTGAAAATTGAAAGAACCCTAAACGATTGAACTAGAAGAAAATATGATAAAACGAACCGAGCGAAGGAGAGTGGAACTGTGATTCTCAATTACCGCCGATGGTGGTGGCATCGCCGATCTGCATTGGCCGAGACACCGAGATGATATAATCCGATTAGCACTGCGGAGAATATTGGCATTTCTCCATAGGGCAGACGCCATTGATGAACTGTGAGGATGCTGCACTGCGTTTCCGTCCTGAATAAACCCTATCGAAGGGGTTTAAGTTTGCTGCTTTGCGCCGTTGGATCTCGGCATCAAAAACTGTGGGCCAGGCCTGGGCTTTAATCAATGTCAATCTGCCATTTTCCTGAATCTTTATTTGTAAAACGAAATTGTTCCATAATTTTTTTAGGTAGTATATTTAACGAAGAAATAATAATAAACAGTTCAAAAAAAAAAAAAAACAAAATAAATTGAATGTATGTTTATGTTTAATAAAATTGAATAAGTGATCCAATTTAATTTTTCAGTAAAATAATCCGTAAAATACACTTAATTATATTTTTTTTATTCGCACTAAAATAAAAAATTCAAAATTCAAAAAGTAAAATAAAAAATTTAAGTACCAAAAATATAAGTAACCGACATATACTTTGTCTAATCGTCGATATGTTAATCTGGTTTATTACCATCTTCAAGCTTGATCGACATACTTTGCCACTTGAACCTGAAGAACTCATTAGCAACTTTTCTTGTTTATCACCCGAATTGACAATGGCAATGGTCCAGGAATACTCGGTCTCTAATTAAAAACTGAATTAAATCAATTCATTCCGATCAAATTTGGTGACCTGTTCGGTTTGATGAGAAAAAATTGCGTATTTGATTTGGAATAATTAAATTCAAACTAAACCGAATATGCTGAATATGATTTTTATACTATTAAATTCCAACTAAATAAATGGGCCGTCTAACACAGAGTTCTATCATTACTATTCTTTGTTATTGTTTATGGGTTTTCGAGTGTTATCGCGATTATTATTATCAATTGAAGTTGAAGATACTGCTTCTGTTTGTTTCTAAGTACTTAGCCAAAACAGAGATTCAGACTCGATAAATGCTACCCAAATCAGCAATAAGACATCTGCTTTAGAGTTGATAATCACTCCGTTGGTCAATGTACAGACATTTTGCATTCTTCCTATATAAGAGGTTGATAGAATCTAACATCCCACCAAGGAATAAGAATCTCAATACAATGCACCGCTAAACTTCATATTAACCAGGCCAAGCTCTAATTGCCACTAAATGCTTATTTATTACACCAAGTCATCAAATACACAACTTGCATCTCTGCGACATCCTCTTAATTGCAAAAATCTCTCTAATATCATCATCATAGCGGGGCTAGACACCGTACCAAAGCCAACGGCCACCATCTTAGTATATCACTGGTTCTTGAATGACTGCAAAAAGTATCACGTGCAATTACCAGCAAAATACTTGAGAATGAAACTATCTGAAATTAAAAAGATGATGGCATCTCACGTCCATGTTCTTGGAGAGATCTTTTATCTGCTCTGCAAGTTCTCGCTTCTTTTTCTCAGCTGCATTAACAGGCCAATACAAATCAACATCAATTCAAAAGCACATTGGCTAGCCAAAATGAAGCTCCAGAGAGGACATACCGATGTTTGAAATATCCTCAATCTTTCTAGACGTTCTCACTGCAAACCTCTGAAATGCAGGACTACAACAAAATTGAAAGAACAAAATTAATAAAGCTCACTGACATAAAGTAATCTACCAATACTTTTTTTCAACCATTTGCTTAAACTGCCAAAAGGCACACATGCTAATTACAAAGATTCTGGTATAAACAACTCTATGTAAATTGTACTTTGGCTTAAGAATCAAAATTCAAACAAAATGATATTGAGTGAGTCAACACCACACTTATTATCCTCCATCGAGTTTGCTGATTTTCAAAGTAATAAGAGGAAAGAAGAGAGAGAGAAAAAAAAAAAAAAAAAAAAAGGAAGAGAGAGAGAAAAAAAAAAAAAAAAAAACCTCAGCCATTAGATGTAATTTTTTGAAAAAAAAAAAAAAAAAAAGAAGCCTCAGCCCCATTAGATGGTTAATTTTTTGGAATCATCTATCCAATCTCAAAAGGCCTACAAATTCACCATTAGCAAAATGATAGAAGACAGTGATGAAGTGAAGAGATACAGATCCATTGATCAAGTAACAGCATTCACCATGCAGATAAAGTACGTCCTATAAGTTGGATTATATGGATAAAAAAAAAAAAAAACATACATTTCAACAAGTCGTGTTTATTTTGTTGTTGAAGTTTAAACATAACACCTAAAAGGCAAATATACAAATATTAGATAGAATTCAAGGAGTAAGCGTTGAGGATGTAATATTGACCATCTTAAATCGAAGAACAACAGGCCCATGTTGTCTCAGTCCAATAGATCAAATTCAACATAGAAATTTTAGTGATTCAATTTACTTGAAATAAGATGAGAAAAGAAATATATAAGATCGTTTAGCCAACAGCTATAAAAGAAGTGCTAACTGTCGAATTCGACAAGGTTGAGCTGATTAATAAAAAGCATTAAGATCAATTTATACTGGAGGTCCGAATGTTAATAAAGGCAGAGGTTGAAAACACAAGGGCACAGCTCTTGAAAAAGTCAACCGATGATCAGGTGAAAAGCCTATCACAGCAATATTCAACAGGGCTGCCTACAGAGTCATTTTAGGCAATGATTAAGTATTGCTCCAACATTCAAGTTCAAGTAATATCCACCAAGCTGATAATTAAATAGACTACACGTGTAGGTGTTATTTATTAGTTCAAAAGTCAATAATACAAACTGAAGACTAAAACTGAAGTATGACTGCTTGATAATCAATTGTTCAATCGACTAATGATATACCTAGAAAAATCTGGTAACATTTACAAAGAGGAGAGACACTAATGTAATGTCACCATATCACACCATTCAAACAAATAATCAGTTCAATTCCTTTGAAGGACTAAAAGAAATAAAATTAATATATGAAACAAAAACATAGGGCTCAACATATGACGAAAATTTCTCAAACTTCCAACCCTGCAGCGCAACAACTGCATGGACAATGACTTGGAAGCTTTGAGACATTTTCGCTTCAGGGAGCAAACTGTCTGGGTATGGCCTATTCCCAACAGCCTAAAACAGAAGCTTTAAATGACCGAAATCCACAAGTCATTAGAGCTCAGAAAACAGAGTTTGACTCATCAATTTAACTTCACAAACTACAATAATGGTCCTGGAAGATATACAGAACAGAATAAGAGAAACGAATAACAGAGGTAATTTAAAATCAAGCATCTGATGCTCATAGTAAGGCATCATAATCACAGAAGATTTTTCATTTCCCATCTAGATGACAAAAAAATTGCTCTTGCAGGAAAAAAAAAAAAAAAAATCTCCTCCGACTTCAAAATACCACAGTGTATAACATGTTACACTGTGGAAAATACAAATGAAGACATGAGACACTGTTGCTTCAAATGAACGAACCAATGAGGAACTCATGATCCCCAACAGTCAGAGAAAGAAGCGTACCATGTGCAGCAAAAGAGAAAGATTGAACCCATATATGTAGGAAATGGAATAGAAAAATACCTATTTGCAAGACCATTGACAATAATTTCATTGGCGACATAAGAAATCACTCTGTGCATGAAATTTCCACCCGCCATCGTCCGTATATTCGATTATCACCGCTACCAAATAGTTTAATTAAACAAAAATCAATCAGTACCAAGTTGGATCATAAGAAACAGAAATTGAAGTGGTTTTATCATCTACAGGAGACAAACAGGACCCGAAAAAATCGAATCATGATAGAAAGAAAGAAATAAAATCAGGATTTTTAACCCTAGAGATTATCAAAATTGAAGTATCTACAAATTCCACCTAAATGATAGAGCAAAATTGGGCGTTTCAGAACAGATTGAAAAGCTGCAAACATACTTACGTTGATTAATCGAATACGATATTATTGTGAAACTTTTAGATGAATTTTTTACCTGCAAAAGGATTGCACGTTCTGGAAGCTACCGGAGACGTTATAAAACTTGAGGGACGAAAAGCCAACCTAGTTCTTAAATAAAAGGCGAAATCGAGTCTTTAGGTGACCCTATTTATGACCCTTCGATGAGACTAAGGCCCATGAGTTAAGTTCTGTATGTCTTATAAGTGGCTGCAAACACTTCCGTTAATTTGATTAATTAGGCTAATTTAATTTAGTGAATTGAAAATTTATTTTCAAGTCAGAAAATAAATTTAAAATTTAATCTAACTGAACTAACTAAATTAATTAAATTAAAAAATAAATATTAAGTGTTAGTAATTGAGTGATGGTAAATGGCTCGGTAGATTCGCTTGAATTGTGCAAGTTGATTAAATACATCAATTTAGTTCGACATGATTAATATAAAATTTAATTTGGCCAATTTAATTCAGTTAAATATATTGTTAGCTTTAATTTGATTAATTAAAAAAATCAATTAATTGGATTTTATTAAAAATTTTACCGAAATTGATAACCTCATCATAGAGCTACAGAAAAAAAATCCTCAAATTTATCATTTAATTTTTTTTTATTGGGTAATTTCAGAAGTAAAAATGAGTTTTGATTTAACAATATTACTAGAAAAAGGAATAAAAAATTTTGAAGTACCCTCATTTTACATATATTTGTCACTCAATTAAAAGAATTTCGTTGACACAAAACAAAGAAAAATTCCCAAAAGAGATGCTATATAAATGTGTACAATTGATCAAATAAATTTAAACCCATGAACTCTTTCCATTTGCTTTCAGTTACAGCTACAAATAGGCAAGAAATATTCGGTTCCAAGTATCCGGAACTCCAGGCAAACACCAGTGTATGCAATCTGCATGGTGTAATGGATCGGCCTTTTCTTCATCTGTCAATACCTTACCTCCTGTCTCTGTATATACCGATGTGTGAGCGTCAATGCGATACTCCGATAACTGTGTTATGTTCAAAACTGTAACAGGAACTTTCATGTTAGCCACTGTACTAGCCACCACACTCATCATTTTCTTATCAGAGCCACTTCCCCAATGCTTTTTCTTCATTACTGGCTTTGTTTCGTTGAAGCATTTTATCCCTTCTGTATTGTTCCAATCTTCGCTTCTGTAGTGAAACGATCGAGATGTTAATATCGGAGACTTGTCAAGGGAAGAGATACCATTGTTAGATATCAATTAGGTTCAAACTTGCAATCTCACAGCCAATGGTAAATGATAACTAGAGGAAAAGTACTAACAAATAGTTTAGAAAACAAATAAAACTAGAGGATTTTTTAAAATTTTGGATGCTGAAATGAAAACTAACTATTAAGGTGATAAATGATAATAATTTTAAAAAGCTTGGAGACAATAATATAAAGTTTCTTTTCGTTTTTATATAATATTAAAAGCTTAAATTTGACTCTCACAAAGAGTGACTTAAGTGGTAAGACACGTTTAAATTTAACGAACTATTTTAATGAAACTAATAGATTAAAAGAAGGTTACAAGAGAAAAATTGAACGAATTTTCTAGAAAAATATTTTTAACATAAAATTTTACAAAAATTGAAAATACTATGAGAAGTAAACCGAATTGTAAAATTGAGTTAAGTTTTTGCAAAGTTTAAAGAAAGAAAGGAACCTTGTGTGTGTAGGGGACATAGTAGTAAAGAAGACACGTGTCTTGTTGGGATTAATATTTGAGTCGACCCAATTTGCCCAAGTCTTCAAACCTACTTTGTAAGCAACTGGTGTATCTAATTCTACATACCCTTCTTCTCCGTTATCAAATGAACCCCATCTGCACATAATCATTAATATTATTTATTACTTAGTAAAAAAAGATAAAAAATTCAATAGGTTCAAAGAACTTAATTACAGTGTTTTGAGCCTTAGACCACTCATCCACCAAACATAAGTATTAAACACTAAAATATCCACTCCTCCCCAGTGTTTGGCATGCTTTTCGATTGAATCCACTTTCATTATTCTCTTCTTTGGATCTACTATGATGTTGAGATCAGTATTTGACTCTATAAGATATGGTGCCCAGTAGAATTCAATGGTCGCATCATATTCCTGAAGCAAACAACAACTAAATTGGTTAGTGTCAGCGTCGATTATATAAATTCTTTGTTTCAAGTGTCCGCTTTGATCAAAATTATTCCTGAAACATCATTTTAATAATTTACCTAAACATGCATGATCATTATAAAGTTTGCTTAGCAATTATTTATCCTGTACAACTAAGTTGCTTGGAAAGACATCCAAAATAGTGGAGTTGGTACCTTGGCTCTAAAGACAGAATGAGAGCGACCCCGTTTCATGGATTTCTTGTCTTCGGATATTAACCATTCCACCATACAAACGAATGATTGCCATTGTCCCCTTTGTAATGAATCCCCTACGAACAACAATCTCTTCCCTCTGAGTTTCTTAAGGGCAAGCTCAGCACTAAATCTACACATGATTGATCATCAAATACACATGTTAAACTAATAAACTTATATAGATATGTAGTTAATACTAAAATTAGTTCTAAATTATAAGATTATATATGATTTTGTATTGATCCATATTCAAATAGTTTGTTTAAAGGCGAGTTCGCATTAAACCATATAAGATTAATTGTGGCATAAGTTTACGGATATAAATTTAATAATATATAGTATTAAAATTTGAAATGGCTAGAAAATAATTCTCAATACACTATGGTGAGTGTGATTTTAAAATCATGGAGCAAGAAACTTTGTTTTAAGAATATCCCTTACCACAAATATCAAAAGAAAAATATAGTGCTTAATTTAATTATTTAGTACTAAATTATAAGATTATATATAATTTAGTAGTAATCCACTTCCAAATAGTGAAATTAGTTTAATTTGTCACGTATTTTCTCCACCTTGGCAAAGTACAGTCACCCGGATGCCATTCCCAGCCGCGGTAATCGGAATCTCGCCGGCCATTTTTAACACAAGAAACTTGTAAATCTAAATAAGGGCAGCTTCTGTCTGTATACAAAGGCTTGTATGATTTGTTAAAGACCCACTTCCCAGTATTAACACTGCACTCTTCTGGGTCGAACTCGAATCTATCATCCATTTCGAAACTTTTAAGATTATCTCCTGCAGTTTTATTCTCTGTTGAACAATGAAAGATTAAAACATAAATTGTAAGATCTGAACAGGAAGAAAAATTAACAAACCGGAAAAAAAAATGTTCCTTACTTGACTTTTTAACAGCATTTCTCCTAGGACAGGATTTAAACTTGAAAAAAGACCTGGAAGCGTCTGAATATAATAGAGCGAGAAATGCAAAACCACAAATAATTAAGGTGATGATAGACAAAGGTAGCTTTCCTCTTGGAGGCTTCATTGTAGCAGATGGAGAAGAAGCTAAGCTCATTGTTAAAACTGCAGAGAAGGGAAAATTACTATTATTGGGCAACAGAATTGATGAGGACCGGTTTTGTTTTAGGTTTATTAATTTCTATGAGCCTTTGTGGTTATTTTTATGGGAGATTGAGTAGGAGTAAAGGTAAAGCCAATAATAGGTTTTTTATTTTTTTTATTTTTGCAGCTTTAAAAGTATTTAGTGTGATATTGGAGGTTAGGAATGAGTTGGAAGGCATACATCTTGGGCTCCTCGTGTCTTCTCCATTTATGGAAGCTATAGATCTTTTCCTAACCACTGTATTAACTATTACTATCTTATAATACCCATTTATTATTGTTCATTAGGTAGGAAAGATTACTTGTTGCAGAAGTGTCCAAACTCTCTATTTCTTTCTGTTCGCTCCCCCTTTTGACTTCTTTTCATGTATTTTTGTATAGAGCACCTTTTCCTTGCCAGATTTTACATATATAACCATGTAGGACATTGCCTTTGTAGTACAAGTATTTTAATGTTTTTTACGAATCTCTAACTTTGATGTCACGGGGGAGCCAAGATCTAAAATTGAGAGACTAAAGAAAAACTTTTAAAGCGTAAATTTAAAAAAAAAAAAAAGAAAGAAATTTTATGGTAAAGGCAGGAATCACTCCAATATTTGCTGTTATCTTATTCGAATTATTTGATTTTAAATGAATCAAAGAGAGAAGTGAACACAATAAAGTGAAAATTATATAATTAATTTAAATTAATTAATCCCTTATCTTTTATAGTTTAATATTTGTAAAGTAATATTATGAAATCAAGCATCATAACATAGGGAAAAAAATTTTAAAATTTAGGTTATGAATATGATTGCACTTTCCTTTTTTTGTTTTTTCCCCCTTTTCTGCTAGCAATGTGATTAAAAGTGACATCCCAACAGTCTTGTAAATTCCCAACGCCCAGACCTTTTGGTGGTGGTGGTGGGTACAGGGTACCAATACTATATAATTTTATGGTAAACCTGTCTATAGATTACATATTTTGTATATATTATTTGCTAAAAATAGGGACAGAGACAGCAACACTATTGGAAATGCCCTCTTTGATATCCAATATTATAACATAGTGTACTCTGGAAAAAAAAAAAAAAAGAACTACTAGCAGACATATGCCATATATATACTGAGCATTGACCTGTTTGGCAGTTGCTACAGTACTTTAAGGTTATGATCAACTGGCAAATTAAGTTTACTTCTTAACTTCTATTGATGAAGGTTCAGTTTTAAAAACTAGCATTCATAAAGTCAAATGTTTGGGTGTCTTACTGAGTTACTGTCTTACTGATAAGAACCCAATACAAGAACAGAAAGGTTCAGTAGGACCTACTACTAATTATGCATGGAAAGTTAGGATACTTCGGTACTGTAGAGTTAATAGAAACCACCAATCATATTGCATACTATTAACTAATCGACATATTATGTATAATAAATATCCTGGTGGTTTAAATAGTTTAATAGTAAATACATATGCGATATTCTCCCTGATTCTAAAAAAAAAAAGATAAAAAAAAAGCTATTGATTTGGTGAGAAGTAGCATTTTGACCTTATTAAGAGATACTAGTTAGGAAAGAAATAATGTTAATATATGTTTACCTACAGACTGTGGCTCAGTTGGTATGTGAGAAAAGTTCTTGGGTTCAATCCCTACTAAACACACATGCAGGGAGAGGGCGAAGAGCCTTAACTGTAACTAAACCCTTAGCCTGATTAAGCGGTCCTTAGTGATAGGGTCCGGATACCTTGTTTTAACCATATAATAGATCATTAATTAATTTTCATATATTATATTGATTACATTTTCCAACATTGCAAAATGCAAATTATCCATATTAGAATTAAGAGTTGCAAAAATTTTAAATCATTTTTCTAAAAAATAAAATCAGAATCAACAAAATTGAGAACAAATCCATTCATCAACTAAGTCAATTCTTCCAATTGAAATCTAATAAATCAAGGTAACAATTTTACTTAGATGTAAAAATTTTACCCCAATACCATTGAATTGAGTATGAAATGGGTTCAAACTTCTTGTTTTCCAACTCAATTCAAGTCCTGGTTTCTCCTTATGTTGAAGTACTATTATATAAATTTATGGTTAGATAATATATATACTTGTAACTATATTATAACTAGATATGCAAAAAAAATAATTTGTTTTTAAAAATGTATTACTAAGGGCTATGACACTTTTAACTTGACATCAGTGTTATGTTTTAAATCTATTCTCATCTCATTTTCAAATGGGATGGTTTTTATTTATTTCGTTTAGATAAGATCCGAACACATATTTGGATAAGATGAATAAACTAATCATCCCTACTCTAAAAGTATAAAATATATGATAAAAACAAGCATATTATGACATCATGTAACTTAAGTATAAAATTCAAAAACAAAGGAAAAAAGGTAAAAAAAAAAAAAAAAAAAAAAAAATAATGGAGGTTCTCAACTATCTGTACGTTCTTAGGTATTTTAGTGATTGAAGGTCAAGGTTATATTAAAAGTAATTAGACCCCTTCACGTCAGAGGTAGTTGCAAAAACATTCTTTAAAATTCCTAATTGGGCTGGGTTTATCTCCTTTGTTCTGTAGTCCTTGACATATGATGAATTGAACCTAGAGAAGGATCCCAGTCCATTCCTTGGACTAGAGAATCAACAGATACCTCTCAATAACCCTAAAAACAATGAGAAACAAGGTCCCCAGATAGGATGTAAGATCTCCCTTTATGACTTACCTTAAATGTTATGTTGTATGGATATAATGAAGTGTTAGTAAAGTTAACTTTAAGGTGGACTTACGTTTCAGGTGGTAGAGGTTTTTAATTCAAGAAGGAAGGAAGCCTTCAGTTCCTTCATTGAGTATTGCTATGTATTCGGGCCTCTAATTGATTACTTACATTGTCAACGTTAATTGTCGAGAATTATTTCACTGGTATTATAAATATATATTTACATTGCGGGTTGTTTTATATTAAAGATGGTAATATTTCATGTTCCAAATAACAAATTATTGGTTTCTACTTTATCAGTTATCTTCTCCTTGCCCCTGATTACCTTTATAAAAACAAATAAATACACGGGGATTATCAAAATGAAATAATTGAGACAAGTCCTTTATAAAATGTTGGTCTGTCCTTTGGAGAAAATGCTCAAGTGTTGTAGGGGCTTATTGTTTAGTTGTCTCCTCATATCGGCAATCATAGCATATGCAGTAATAGACAAAAAATGCACACACAATTTATGGATGAATATATCATGGGCCCTTCTACCTACCTATGCATAAGTGGGTCTCCGTGAAATATTGGTCCAATGGAACCATAAAAGGGCCTCTGTGGATCTTATGCTTTCCTAGAAAAACCTGTGAACTTAAAATTTTCTCTTGAATTAGAGTGATAACCCGTTAATTAGAAGCAAGAAACACAACAATTTAGGAGGGAATAACAGAGCCGAGAGCGAAAGAATTCTTGTTAAACCTCTGGCACCTTAAAGCAATTGAACAGCCCCTTAGACTCTTAGGAATCTATAATTAAAGTCGAGATGGATTTCACTGTCAGTTATGTTAGGTTGTGTCAAACTCTCTGGTTTGATGCCTCTTTGGTTTTCATCATAACTCTCACATTCTTTACGTCAATCCACTCTTTTGAAATTTAAGCTTTTTTTCATATATTAGTTTAATATTTGGATATTACATTTTTGTACACATAGATCCATCTCGCCTATAATATGGTCAAATATGTGTCCCCTATTAGAATATATTAAAGGAGTTTCATGTCCCATAAAAATTTTCTTAAATGAGTTTTTATTCCTTAAAAGGTAATAAGGTTCAGAACTTAGTCAATAAATTACAATCATGAGACCAAAAATAAAATCACCATTATACCCTAAATTCCCCTAACCCTAAAGTATTCGACATATCTATCCTCCATAATTCTGTTAGTTAATATACTCTAACTTAAATCATAAGGAAGCTATTTAAACCAAAAATTTATGTATTCCTTTAAGGAAAATTTGGCAAAAAAAACAAAACTCAACAATTCATATTGACTCTTACCCCTTCACCCAGAAATACCTATTTAAAATTTGGGCATGGGTGTACAGGCAATTATGATGGTATATCCCAAACACCTTATGCATTTATCCAACAAACCTTCGCACTCTTCCAAGTTCGCTGTTTTCTTCGCTTTTAAGTGTTTGTCGGAAAGAGAAAGGTCTTCTTAAGGATTAGGGATCCTAGTTCTTACTCTATCATTTTCTATTTAATAATATCAATTTGTCATAAGGAGGGTGGATTGAAAACAATAAAATATACTTTTGATAAACTCTTAATAATCAATTAACGTGATATGCCAAAAAAAAAAAATAAATTGAATTTTAAAATTCTTAGTACCATTATCTGAAAGCCGAGCATTCATGAACTCACTTTTCTATATTATAATCTCTTCTGACATCCTAATGTGGTATATATACTGTTTTTTAATCTCTTATTCGATTCCTCATCTCTCCATATCACAAATGATGATGTAGCAGGACATACGTTTTATTTTTGAGATTTTTTATTAGTCGTAGCATTAACAGTATCCCGTAACGACCAATCTTTGCATCAATGGTGCGAAATTCATATACTGATTACAAATTACGCTCTCATACTCTAATAAAGAGTTGGATACAAAATAATATAGATTAGATATTGACTAAGGCTGATCATATGCCCTCATAAGGTAATACCATAGGGGCATTAATAAATTCCCAAAAAAACACAATAGGTTAATAGTCAAAAAAAAAATACAAGAAAATAAAAAAAATTCAAACACATATTTATTGAGTTACCCGAGTCATAAGAATAATTAATACTTTGGTCTCCTACTCTGTAAGTAATTGGCATTATGACAAACCTTATAACCATTTAGAGATTGTTTGGGGAAAACAATGGAGAAAATTTAGTTCCCAATCTCGATTTCTCCAAACATTTATGGTGACACAGAAAGAGAATGATGACATATACAGCTCCTATATGTGTTTCCAATTGAAGAGCCCCAAAAATGAGAAGTACTTTTCCCTTTAAATTGGCCCCAGTAAAGTGTGATGAACACGTTTTTATCGGTGGTTAAAAATTGGCATCCAATCCTCTTCTTTCATTCATTCCGAAATTTATTTGAAGAAATATCTTCCTTTAAAGAATTTCGATAATTGGGGTAGCCCGGGCATTCTACTCCTCGTAGATTCAAAATGGTGGCAAGGTACTTTTTTCAAGAAAACCTCATAAGGAATTGCAAGGTGAACTTAGTGAGTGGGAGGGGTAGGGTGTATGACTGTCCTCCGCTTTATGACAAAGACGGGTGTTTTGAAAACAATCAAGAATATTATTAGCCTAATTTGAGGTGGGAAAGTGCAATTTTTCTATCTGGTTTTGCTATTTCTTGTAGTCCTTTCCTCTCCGTGGAGAAAAAGGAAGATTCTAGGGTAGGAAGACTTTCCATTGTACCCAAATATAAGCGTGGCCCCATCTTACTTGCCTATACTTATCCTATTGTTCATTTCTAGAAGGCTTTTATTTTTCCTTTTTCTTTTTCGCTTATTTATCTTTTTTTGTGTTTTGTCTTTATTTTTTTCGTTATCTGTATTCTTTGTTATTTACTTCTATATTTTTTTCCCTCTTCCTTCTTGAATCTTGTGCCTTATGAGGGAATAAGTGGGGGACCACCACATGTCTTTCATCTTATGTTTTTATGTGGGCACATAATTTTCGAATCGGTCCTGTTACGCAATTATTTTTTTATATAGAATGTTTTCAAAGTTGCTTATGTTAGAACTCCTTTGTTTCTTCATTTTATGTGAGAATTTTCTTTTTGTCCATACTCATTAAACGTCATACACCGTTAAAAATTTGTACCTTACATAATTAGGTATTAAGCGGTTTTGTATATTAGACCGATTTTCTGATTGTGTGCTTAATATTTCGGGATATTGAAGAAACTATAATTTTAATTATTTAGATTTTTGAGCCAAATCCTGTGAACTCTAGAATTGGAAGTCAAAAAGATAAAACTCCGGAGAAATTAAATGTTTTCTATTACATGAAACTTTTTTTCGTCGAACATTATTAAATTTTCTTTTGGCATTGTCTTCGGATTAACTTTTTATTGTGATTTTTTCTTCTAATATAGCGGAGAGTGTAAATTTTCTATTTATCAGGTAACTGATAAAAGAGATTGGGGGGCAAAGTAATCTAGAAGTAAATAAACCACGAACCCTGGGATTGGACAGATATGCTATATACTGTAATTTATATACACATTTTTTTTTATTAATTAATTAGGATCGGTCTCTTTAGGTTTATCAAAGGGAGGAAAGATAAACTTGCTAAATGGGCGATCACTCGATTCATAACGTAAAGGGGTCTTTAATTTTGCGTGTGTTTTCTCGTCTTTTTATAGAAATAGCGCAAAATAACCTTAGTGGTTATTATTAGGAGGGTAGGTTAAAGTGTCGCAAAATCCCAGTATTTTATGACTAAAGAAGCTGTTTTGTATTGGTTAAAGGTTAAAATAGATCATAGATTTTAATTTCACCAACTAAAAGATTAACAGTATTCTTTTGAAATTTTAATAATTCTTAAGACTCCCTCTGTCCCAAGAAAGTAAATCCATTTTTTTTTTTTGATGTATTTCCTCAATGTCCCCTCGCTATTATATTTATCTAAGTCCACTTATTTTTTTTATAGATTTTTTTATTTTGGCATATTAATATAAATCCCTTTTGTTAAGATTGTCGTTGTTATTAAACATTTATTCTGATATTCTTACTCTTATGATTCTTATCTTATTTCCAATATACCCAGTTCCATATAGCTATGCTCTTTACCTTAATAAGTGTTTTTAATATTTATGACTGGATTATTTATACCCCACTCTGTAGTTTATTTCTCAAAATTATAGCCCATACTTCCTAGAGAAATAACCTACCATTGTAGATATTAATGCCACATCAGTATTAACACTTCTTTTGTTCTAACACTATTTAGACTTGTTTATTTTCTTTTAATCCCTTTATTTAAATAACATTAGGTTATCCATATTTCTGATTTTTTTATATACGTAACAGGAAAAAGGTGATGTTATTGGTTTTTTTAACTAGATTAAAGTACAAATTTCCTAAAAAATATTTATGGTTCCAATTCTTCTATACAGTGTTTCTACACCCGAATTATGGAATTTTTTTTTTTTTTTTTTGCATTTTAATTAATCTTTAAATTGTCTATTATACATTTATTAAATCTAATTTTATTTTCATAACCCTCAATAATTTTTACTTATTATTCTAATATAATAATTCCTCATGTGTTATTTAAAATGACATAATAGAAAAGTTACATGAATAAAATTGTCTTTTAACCATAATAATTGTTATTTTCTTAATCTTTATAAAAAATAGTTCATTTTCTATTTTTTTAGAAGGAAAAGAGTATTGTTTAACTATAAATATCTAATTGAGTTTGTATAAGTGTACACCGATAGATGTACCAATCACCATCAGTTCATGTTATAGCAAATGAGATTCAAATTCTTTATTTTAAATATGAAATATTATTATTTATGATGAGGATATATATGGCTAAAAAATTATCAATTATAAATAGAAATTCTATTCTTTGTTCTTCTTGGGTCAATAGCTATTAACTATATATGCTGTGTTTCTAAAAGTATGAGGGACTCAAAATTATTTTCCTTCCTCTTAATTTAGAAAGAAGAAAAGAAATCCCAATCTTTATTTAGATTAATTATTATTAGTAAAATAATTATGTTTATCATCTAAACACAGGTTGTCTTCGAATGTAGGGTCATTGACCTTAAGAAGGAGACACTCTTGATTAACACATTAACTGCCATAACGAAACAATTTATTCGTTAGTGTCCCTCATCAATAAGGTTCCTTAATTACAATGGATTATATGGTTTTACAGAAAATGATTAGACTTATCCATAATTAAAACTATAATGAGTTTAATAATATGTATTAATATTTGTGATTAACAATTTCATCATGCTTTTGCAAATTAAAAGTAAAAGAATAGATAACAAAGTAATTAGTTATTTGAAAATTTTTTAAAAATGAGAATACCATCCACGCTTGCTGCATTGTTGGGTTGGGTTGGGCCGACATACTGGTCTAACTAAACCAAGCCAACTATAGCAAATTACATTTTTATCCAAATGTTACAATAATCCCACCGTCGGCGTCAGTTTTTCTCCTCTCAGTTCTGACCACTGTTCTCAACGAAACTCTCTGTTCCTCATTTCCTTCAATGGCTACCATCAGCCTCTCTCCACTACAAACCTGTCCTTCTCTTCGCTTACTTTCGTCATATTCTCCCCTAAATACCACCAACCTACTATTCTATTCATACTCTAAGCCTTCAATCCCCTTCCTTTCCATCTCCTTAAAACCCTACCACAATGTTAAGCCTCGCTCTCTAATTATCGCTGAAGCCATCAAAAGCCTAACGGCGACGGAGTTAGTACCCGTGCCTTTAACGGCGGATGAGTTCTCAAAGAAATTGCCTTCAGAATCGGGCGTATACGCCATCTTTGATAAGAACGATCATCTTCAATTTATTGGCATATCCCGGAATATTGGAGCTAGCGTGCTCTCTCACTTGAAGTCGGTGCCGGAGCTTTGCTCCTCTGTTAAGGTACTTTTTTCTTTTTTTTTTTTTTTTTTTTTTTTTTTTTTTTTTTTCCTTTTCAGTTTTATTAGGTTTTTTTTTTTTTTTTTTTTTTTTTTTTTCCTTTCAGTTTTATTAGGTGTACCGTCTTTTAGCTTCCTGGCATAAGGTTTCATTGTTAATTGAACGGAAAATGCAGATAACCAATATAATGCAGAAAGATTAAATTACTGATGTTAAAATAGCAATTTGTTGATATTTGTGTTTGATTTCTCTGTTGCTGTGTTGATTTTACATTGTAATTAGCTGAATTTTTGTGAGCTGATCTTAATTGCAATTACTGGAATTGCCTATTTCAAAGTGTAAAAGATAGCTGGGGATAGAAAGAAAGTCTGGGATTGGAAGGAAATTAAGGTCTTTTCTTTTGTAATGAAGCCTACATTGGTTTATTGGTTCAATGCTTTGAATTTTTAACTCGAAATGTATTTGATTATCTTACACTGAACTAGAGTTTAATACATGGTAGGAACTTTTTTGTGGTGTGGATGAATAAAAGATTAAGGAATACAGATTATAATGTATTGAGCAAAACAAACACCTCTGTATACCTCTAGCCTTTCCTTATAAGACTGCTAAAATATACACCAAATAGGGAAGAAATATATTGTTGATGGCATATATCCATTTTTTGCATCCATGTTTTGATTAGCTTGAGTAAGCTTGAGTTTGGCAAAACCTAAAAACACTGAATGTTAGTGTTTGCATCCTTAGTTCCTGTAATGAACTCACCTTGGAATGCCCTAAGTGACAATGTTAAACCTTGTGAAATGAATAAAATTCGAGTTGTTTTGGCATGTTGGAGTGAGCTTTATTTGCTAGCCAATTGGAGGAAATATATTATTGAATGCTTTTCATGTTGGAGCTTTGGTATACAATATGGAAATGTGAACAGTCGATATTTGATATTTAAGCTGTCTTCTAATGACGCACAACTTGATTGTTGAAAATATTGAGAAAATGGGATAGCCAATCTCCATCCATCTCGTTTTTGCTCCAACTAAAGTAATTCCCTAAATTTTCTTGCAGACTGGTAATTTTTAATGTAAATTTTCTTGTAGGTTGGTGTAGTAGATGAACCCGACAGGACAACTCTCACTGAAGCTTGGAAATCTTGGATGGAGGAACATATAAAAGCCACTGGAAAGGTTCCACCAGGCAATGAATCAGGCAATGCCACATGGATCAGGCAGCCACCAAAGAAGAAGGCTGATCTCCGGCTAACACCTGGACGTAATGTCCAGTTAACAGTTCCATTGGAGGAACTCATTGAACGGTTGGTGAAGGAGAACAAGGTGGTTGCCTTTATCAAGGGATCACGAAGCGCCCCATTATGTGGATTCTCTCAAAGGGTAATTGGGATTCTTGAAAGTGAAGGAGTAGATTATGAGAGTGTAGACGTTCTTGATGAAGAATACAATAATGGGTTAAGGGAGACATTAAAGAAGTATAGCAACTGGCCTACATTCCCTCAAATTTTTGTCAATGGCGAGTTGGTTGGAGGATGTGATATCTTGACCTCCATGCATGAGAAGGGTGAGCTTGGTGGATTACTGAAAAAGTAGTTGATTTTTCAATACCTACATTTTCTAAATGGGGAAGCGTGTTATAACAAAATTGCTAAGTAAGGTGACAGGAGAATCAAGAAAATGTCGTTCTTTGTATGTTTATCTTTCTTGCATCGGGTGTTTTTTTTACTTAAATGGAAGTTTTTTTAAATAATACAAATATAGAAATAAGACTCTCCTTATGCCTTTTCATTTCACCTTCACTAAGCTCGCTATGAATTTCAAGGATTTCAACTTCTTCTTTTTTTTATTGCCTTCTTTTATAATTCATGAGTCTTGATTTTAAAATTAATTACTATAGTCTACACTATTGTAAAAAATAGTTCAAAAGTTCATTAAACAAGTTTATCAAGTAATATAGATTGAAATTACAATATCACTCAAGAAACTATCCAGAGCATAGAGGAATTTGAACACAATATTTGATGGTAAATTTATGCTTATACTTTACATAACAAATCTTTTGTAATCCTTAATTTTTATTTTAACAAATTAAACGATTTAACTTTTAAAATTGCATATATTAAATATTTCAACTGGTAAGATTATTTTATTAAGCACTCCAATTTATAAAATTAGAAAGAATACTTATTGGATAGATGAAAATATGAAGTTTAAAAGTCGTGCTATCCACGTATTAAATTAATATTTTACATATAACAACCAAAAATACTAAAAAAAAAAAACTAATATTGCTACTGTTTAGAGGTATACAATGATACTAAATTCTTAATTTTAGGAAAGTTTGAAGTGTCACACATTTTTTTTTTTAATGTATAGGAGCGAATTTAAGCATTTTGCCAATATTTGATATATATCCAAGAGAACCTAAATAAATAGTAATATATTTGTTGCATTAGTTCTGACACTTTCTGGATTTTTTTTTTTTTTTTTTTTTTTTTTTTAAATAGTAATATATTTGTTGCATTAGTCTGACACTTTTCTGATTTTTTTTTTTTTTTTTTTTTTTTTTGCAAAACTATTCGTTTTTTGGCTTCCTCATTACTTAAGGATTCGAATTTTTTTTTTTTTTTTTTTTTTTTTTGCAAACTATCGGTTTTTGGCTCCTCTTACTAAGGATTCGAGAGCTCTTCTCACGTACTCAGCTTGCGTTGCCAACTGAGTCACAACCCATAGATACTTTTTTATCTGCAACTGCTTTTTTTCTCTTTTTAATTTTACTTAAATGACGCTTTTAGAAAATCAATCTAACATTAATATTTTCTTTCAATTTTATCTCTGTCTGGTATATCAGTCTTAGGGGATTGGACTATAATCCAGTGGTGAAGACTCTCATACACTTTCATAGTGACTAGGGTTCCAATAATTCTCCTATTATTTTTTTTTAAATTAAGGTGATTCAATTATCATTTTCTAATACTTTGAAAAAGTAAAAAAAATAATGGACCAAAGGCGATAAGTACAGTAATAAATCAAATAAAAATGCACACGCATATCTTAGGCTAATGATGAGGGTAAAACAAAGGTTATAAAAATGCTTAATTTGAACTTTTGAAAAAGGTAGAGTATTCCAAACCAGTAAACATCTTGTTGCTGTGCAGTGGTTATTACGTTAGTCTTACATGCGAAGGGTCCCTAGTTATAATAGAGGAGTTTAATTGTTTTTTGGTAATATTTTTGTAAAGTTAAAAGGTCTAAATTAATCTTATTTTTTAAAAAACTAAGGTGATTCAATTATTTTGTCTTACTACATTCGAAAAGTTAAAAAAAAAAAGTCCAAATTAATGGAACAGAGGCGGCAAATATAGTAATAAAACAAATAAAAGCGCCCATTCAGTTACATTAGGCTGATGATGATGGTTACAAAGACTACAAAAATAAATAATTTGGAATTTCAATAAATTGAGAACGTTACAAACATCTTGTTGCTGTGGTGTAGTGGTTATCACGTTGGTCTTACACACTAAAGGTCCCCAGTTCGATCCTGGGCAGTAACAATTAAGGAGTTTATCACACGTCGTACACCTAATTAATTAGGTGGTTTAATTTTTTTTAATCAAATTGAATTTTTCTTTTCTGAAGATGCGCATGTTTATCTAATACATCATATAATGGAGATTTTTTGTTTTTTGAAGATCGGGAAGGAGGCTATTTACCATTAATGATCTCGTGCTTTTTTTTTTCGAAAGTTGAAACCTATATTTAATAAAGTTTAGATTTATATAAGGAAAAATTCTAGACGTGCCCCTATATATTGTATAAAACAACTACTTTACCCTTATCTCTTTACAAATAAATTGTTATACCCTTTCATTTTAAATTCTTTATATTATATTGCACTTTCGTTAGGTTTTTGCTATTTTACACATTAAATGCATATAAAATGACATTTTTGTCCCCACTTTCTTTTTTCCTCTTCAAGCAAATCTAGAAATCAGTATAAATATATGCAGAAGCAAATAAAAACGAAGTTGAAATCATATATTGAGAAATAAAAACTAAATTCAAAAATGAAGTCCAAGTTGTGGACTTTACCTATAATTCTAACTTCCACGTATCTCAAAAGTAACAAAAATTAAATTCTCCTAAAAGAAAATGTGAACTCTACGTATAATCCTAAATTTTCACAAATCTCAAAAATAAAATTAAAAAAGACAAACACTCATTGAAAAATCAAACTTGAGATTTAGTATAAATTTGAATTTTTTAAGTATAAATTTTACATTTAACTTTTAAATGATTTAAAGACTTAGTATATCCTTATACTGTTATAAGAATGTATTTCAACCTTAAATTTTTATTTTTTAGCAAATAAATATGTATATTCTCAATAATCACTACATTTTTTTTAAATAATAGTTATACCTTTTTCTCGACTGAAATTTTTGTTTAGAAGATGTTTGGACTAGAATTAATATCTATTAAAAAATGAGCACATAAGTTTGATGTGTTTAAAAATTAAGGGATTTCCACAATTAAAATTTTTTTTATGATTTCTCCCACGTGATTATAAAGTAATTAAAAAACTTTGATGCTATTTGAAATTATTAAAAGCCTCTGAATTTTATAAAATTCGCTTTTATTATATTTAGAATAATTTTCTCTGTACTTTTCGACTGCAAATGCATTATTTACACGTTGCCCGATAGTAGCTTTTTGGCTTTTCAGGAGCAAGGGCTCAATAGTTGCCTAATTAATGTGGCGTGTTGGACTTGGAATTACTAAAATAATATTGTCATCTAGTTATCCCTTACCAGCTACCGGACATTTATAATTGTAGCTATAAATATAGTAACTGTAACAATAATCATTAAGATAGTCATTGTGGGTCCAACTTGAAATTCCATATAAATACTTTGATAATACTATAAATAAAATGAGTCACTCGTGAACTTGCACATGCTCGATTTAATAAAATCTCGATTGAACTTATTCGATAAGTAATTTTAATTTAAATTTGAATTAGTAGCTTACAAGCTAATTTTATTGAATGGAGCTCATATTTCAATTCACAAATTAGTTTCATAAAATTTAATTAAATCCATATCAAAATTACATCATTTGAATTTTTTTATTTAATAAAATTTGAGCTCGATTTTTTTACGGTTATCAAATTAAATTCAAATTGAAGTTAAACTTAATTATATCTTTATTTTATCGAGCTGTGAGTTCATTTAAAATTGTACTAATTAAGTTTTTAATATCATTTAATTTAAAAATATTTCATTTTTGCTAAGATTATAAAACAATTCAAACCAAAATTTCAATTAAAATTTATTCGTTAAAAAAAAATCAAACATATTTGAAATTGAATTATTTTTTATGAATAAAATTAATATTTATAAATTCAAATTCTAAATCTCTTAAATAAGTTGAAAAAAACAACAAACTAGTATTTTATAAATTTTAAAATAACTAAATTTTAATATGATTTTTTACCGAATAAAATAACTTTTAATATATTACATTAAAAAAATGTTATTAATTAAATAGAAACAATATTGAGTTTATAAATAAATTACTTTGAATAAAGTCGGGAATGATATCAAGCGATACACAGCTCATTTCAACTCTTCTGCAGACGTATCATAAAGCCCCAAAAGAAGAGACGGTCTCTGTTGGGCGGAATAGCTGTTTTTTTTTTTCATGACCAATCTTCAGTTCCCATGAAACTTTTTAAAATTTTTCTTTTCCGATTCTCTAACACATCAAGCAACGATTTATAGCATTCTCTTTCATTTTTGTGATTATGGAGATTGTCTCTTCTTCTTCTTCTGTTAGATTCAAGCTTTATGATCGATTGGAGTTGCAGGAGTTTCAAGACAAGTACGTGATCAAATCTTTAGAGTCTCCTGATAAAGGCTTCTCGATTGACCGAAGAGATGGCAACATAGAGTCAATCAATGGTAAGAGATTTGAAATTTTGTGAGAATTCGGATTTTTGAGTTTTGAGCTCCGTGCTAATGGCTATTGAATTTGAGTGAAAACGGTCAACTGTTAATTAGACAGTTACATTTTTATTTCATTAAGTGGCTTCACCTTTACTTGGCCTAAACTAGCTGATAGGACTAATTATATATTTTGTTCACATTTTTATATGTAGAATAGAAATCTTTATTTGTTTTTTTTGTTAATTTCTTAGATGAGACTGCTAATGGAAGTCCGTCCAAAACATCGACAATCTATGGGGTTGCTGGTACAATTAGACTTATTGCAGGTAAGCGCTCTTTTTAAATTGTAAACCAAAACGTGATCCTGTTAATGGTTATGTGCGTGATTAGATTGAAGCACAGTAATTTTTACTGTATCATGGACTGGATTTTACTAACTACTGTGAATCTATAAGCTTTTCTCATGGCCGTCAGAGGTTTTTTTATATCAAGTTTCGCTTATATTATTGATGCAGGTACATATATACTTGTAATAACTTCTCGGAAGGAAGTTGGAAATTTTCTTGGTTTTGGCGCGTCAGAGGTTTTTATATCAAGTTTCGCTTATATTATTGATGCATAGGCTACATATATACTTGTAATAACTTCTCGGAAGGAAGTTGGAATTTTCTTGGTTTTCCAGTTGTTTTAGATAATGTCTATGAAGTTTTTTGTTCCTGCAACGAAGCATTAAGATTTTTCGACTTCTCAAGAAGTAAGGTTTGCTTCTTCTTGCATTTGTTCAAAGGCTCATCTTTTGAAATTTTGGGATTAATGGTTTTTTTCCCCCTAAGAATCTTGTTGATGATGATTATTGTTATTTATAACATTCAGACAAAGAAGGATGAGGCTTACTTTATGAATCTGTTAAGACGGTGGAATCGAGTCCTTGGCTTATGTACTATTCATATGAAACCAGATATAACATTGAAGTAATCTCTTCGTTCCTGTTTACTACCTTGTCCACCATAGCTCTTGACTTATGTGTATAAAGATAAGCTTAAAGTTCTATTCTAGTGCATGAATTTAAAACACCAAATTTAATTGATATTAGCCGGAAATAAAATAATAGGGGAAGTAAACATGGTGCTAGTTTGAGGAATAGAACTACATAAACAAAACTCAAGTTCATTTTCTTTTCACCTCTTTCATGGGGGTGGCTTTTACTGGGACTAACCAACATTTGAGTTAAAGACGGAGAGAGAATCTATTCATTTTCTTTTCACCTCTTTCATGGGGGTGGCTTTTACTGGGACTAACCAACATTTGAGTTAAAGACGGAGAGAGAATCTATTCTATTTATACAGAATCTAATAGACATTCTCATCGCAAATCCATTACATAAATGGTGACATAAACTCAAATTGGACTCAACAAACAATCACATATATGTCCTTAAAATTTATTTATTCAGTGGTGTTCGCAAACCAAAATAACCCACCACTAATGAAATCCCAAGTCAAAATTTCAAATTGGATTCCAATCTAATTTTAGTAATATTCATTTATTTTGTGTTCCAGTTTACAGAGAAGATGTAAATTAACAGATGGGTGGATGGCTAAACCAATCTGGAAGCAGGTTAGTATCCACATTAATTATATTGTTAAATCATTATCTGAAGATAATATCTTGCGCAATTGACACCCAAATAATGTGATTTATTTATTTTGATGATGTGCTTAATGGGGTGACACTTACTGCTGTAGTAATGGGTGTCAACTTTTTCTGTCAGTCAATTTGAGTTGCTTTATTTCTGTTGTTTTGAAAGATTCATGGTAGACTGGTGATTTATGTTAATTTAGCATTTGATTCTATTTGAATCAGTTATTATTCTATAAAAGATTATATATTACATACTGGTTTCTAAACTTTAATGTTTATAGAATACGTACTTTGTTAAACTGAGAATAGAATAAGCTCTAGCAGGTTCTTACGAAATATAAATATGATGAATTAAATTATATGTCTACATTCTTAGTAAAATTTTTTATGTTTGTTGTAAATTCTTTCCATTCATTTGCACCATCAGCTTAGCTGAGGATTTTCAACGGGATAAGGAACAATGAAAATACTTCTGATCATTTCATTTTTTGTTATTCGTCTTCAATTGCAACCATCTGCAGTTATTCATCATTTGTTATGGTTGTTGAACTTCCACAATTCTGCATTTCAGGCTGACCCTAGATTTGTTTGGAACAAAAATCTATTGGATGAACTCATTGAGTGCAAGGTAGATACTCTACTTAATTAGAAAAGCAACAAAAAACAGAGCTTCTGCAAACATTTTTGAAAATGCATTTCTTGTTTGCAAAGAAGCAAAAGGTAGAATAGAGTTTTTTTCCAAATTAAGCAAGAATATTCTAGTCAATTCTTCAATAGGATCAATAGATCATTTTCCTTTTTCTTATCCAATCATTTTTATTTTGGCAGCTTGATGAGTTCATCATTCCTCTGTTGCAAGGAAATATCCTGAAGTCTCTGATATCTTATGCCAATTATTTAAATTTATTTCTGTCTGCACATCTATTATATGTTAAAGGAGAGTAAAAACACTGAATCACATTAATTATATCCCATTTCAAAGATTCTTTCTTCTGTTCTCATTTAACCACAATTCACGCTTTGGAGCTGCACAACTAAAGCTGAATGAGACAACTACAACTATTACATTAGTTTCAAGAAGGTGCACTCGGCGTCTAGGTAAAATTTTACAGGGTTTAACAATACTAGGTTGCCCATGTGGCTGTATGCAAGCGGTATATATTCTTAACTATCGTAATATGGTGGCCTAGGAACAAGAATGTGGAGAAGAGGAGCTAACCTTGAAGGAGATGCTGCTAATTTTATTGAAACTGAGCAACTGCTGGAACTTGAAGGTTTCAAGTCCTCGTTATTGCAGGTATATTCTGTCTTTTAAAGTTTCGAGATTGGTTGTGCACTTTAATATAACTATATCTTGAAATGGAGGATCTTTACCTTCTCCATTCTTCTGCTTCAAAATTGTAGCATCAGTAAAATAGACACAATAATTTATTAATGTATATGCTTAAGGTAGTGAATGCATGTCCAGTCAGAATTGTTTTATCAGTCCGCAAAATGCCCTCTTTCTAAATTTATTGAATAGAAAGGATAAAGATGAATGAATATTTTTCTTTCAACTTGCTGCATATGTTGTATATTTCAGTTTCTTTGTTGTGCAAGTAAACCGAACATGTCCATTTTTATACCTCTTTCTATCATATGGAATAGATTTAAGTTGAAGAATGATTATGTATCCTTGTAAATCTATCTCAACACTCAAACCCTGACTAGAGTATCTTGACTCATCATGTCATAGCTTTTTCCACAGTCTCATTTGATCCTCTAATGCAGGGAAGACATATTTGTTTCAATGTGTATGATAAGTATTTCTTTGACTTTTTTCAGGTTCGTGGTTCAATTCCTCTTCTTTGGGAACAAATTGTTGACTTGAGTTATAAACCACGTCTTAGAATTATTAATCACGAGGAAACGGTATGTGTGTACCATAAAGCATAATAGAGCTCTTTTTTCTTTCGATTTGTCATGGTATTTTCCTATTTATGCCTCTGTATTCTTTTGTTCTCCTTAAGTCAAAAGTTGTGGAGCGCCATTTCCATGATCTTCACCAACGGTATGGAGACACAATGGTGGTTGACTTAACTGATAAAGTAAGGCCTTCCCCCTGACCTTGTTCACTCCAGTGCTCAAATTTTAGCATAGTCTAGTAATGATGTAGTCTAAGAAGGTAGATTATTTGGCCAGGTGAACAAGATTATAAACTGTTTCTTTTAAAAGCTAATGAGATTACACAGGTGGCCTTTGTCCACATGTGCTTATAATCATGCAAGGCTCATTTCATTTAGAATATCCAACATTTATAGAAATTTGCTATTTGCTTTGTTTACCATTGCAGCATGGTGATGAAGGGAAATTAAGCTCAGCATATGCTGCAGAAATGCAGAAGCTTCCAAATGTGAGGTGAAACTCTGCACTTCTATATGTGGATATTTTGTCTGTGATTGAGTTTTTAATTTTTACTGTTTCCTATGAGATTACCTATACAGAAATCTGTCACCATTTTCACTTTGTCATTGTTTTCATTGATGGTTATTGAGTCATGTAACTGTTGGCTGCTTGCAAGGCATTTTTCTTCATGGCTCATTTTTGAAATGGTTTGATTATAAGTAACATAACCAAGCGTTCGGTTCTATTAACCTAAAGAGGTCTATTGACTGCTTTTGTGTTATTTAGTAACAACTTTTGTTGTGAGCATAATCATCGACAAATTTATTGGACTTGTGTTTTCAGGACAAAATGTGGAATTACAATTAAAATTTTAAAACAAAATTAAAATGAATTATTATGATTTTATGCTTGAAAAAGTTGACCACCAGCTTGTGATAGGGCTTGTAAGTGGTATGTAGGACCTGGTGCTTTGAGAAGAAGATGCCTTGACATTTGTGATTGGATGTCTATGTACATGCAATATCTTAATTGGGCATGTGGGCTTCATTGTTGAACTAAGCAAAAACTTTAACAATGGCTTTGCAAATTCTTTTTCTCCTTCTTTTGCTTAATGCTTTACCATCACTTCCTTTAAAAGTCAAATTCATTAACTGAAAGTAACTTGGATCTTAGTTCCCCAGTACAATGTTAAGAAACTCTACCAACTAGACTGCCTAGCACAAAAACATTTATATTGTTTTAAGGGAGAAGAAAAGATGGAAATTTGTTTTGTTGGGAAGTGCCTAATGAAGCAAGAAAATGTATTTTAATTGCTCAGTAGAAGTCTATGTAGGACTGCAATCAGAAGTTTGCAAGAAGTTATTTGTTTTGCAGTTATTTTGTTGAAGCTAAGCAAACAGGAGTGCTTATGACTTCTGATTACATTGTTTTGATCTAGGCATGACCACGGTTCAATTTCAAATTGGAATCGAACTGAAACCAAACTGGTTAAAGCCAACATCAAAATGTAGTCAACTGTTCCCTGTCTCAAACCGTAAACGAAACCATGTGTTTATGGTTCAGTTTCGGCTCTTCATATTTTGAAACCAAAACTAACGATTTTGGTTTAAAACTGGTGGGTCCAGTTTGCAACTTTGAAAAAAAATATTTCTAAAGAAATTCCTAATATTGTTTTTTATTTTATTATAATGTTTTAAAATAAAATTCAAAACTTCTTATTGAATTGGTTTAGTATTTTTCAATAGTACTATTTATTATTATTATTTATTCAAGCTACAAAATTGAAAACAAGAACTAAAAAGCTTGAAAATAATTATCTAATGTTGGCTCCAAACCGGAACGGAATAGAAACTGATGGTTCCAAAACCGTCTTAAAAGCCCCTCAAAGCAGTTCAGTCCCGGGAACCAATGGTTTTGGAACCATGTTTATGCCTATTTTGGTCATATTGTTGTGCCCATTCTTTCTGATTTGCTTTCCTCTTCTCAAATGGTGTAGGATATTCTGGATTGCATTTTCTGATTTGTTACTGTAGCATACTAGCATTCCTCTTCTTCAAAATTTGTACATATAAGAAAATGTAATTTGGGATTTGACAATATATTTCTCATGTTCATTGCAGATATGTGTCATTTGACTTTCATAACATTTGTGGCAAATCAAACTTTGATAATCTACACATTCTTTATGATCAAATCTCGGAGGATTTCAGAAGTCAAGGGTAATAATAGCAAATGAATTGTATACATGGATTCTTATTATTAAAAATGCCATGATCCAGTATCCTAGCTATCCATAATACTGCTTTTTAATCATTACTCTTCCAGCTGAGCAGATATTTGATCATAGACGTAGAAGGAAACATACTAGATGAGCAGAAAGGAATTATTAGATCCAACTGCATTGACTGCCTTGATCGTACAAATGTTACCCAGGTTGGTATAGTAGTATTAGCACGGTTGTTTTTCTTTTATTGTAGTGCTACTATTCTTGTTTCATGATATATGCTAATTTTACGTGAGATATGCTGTGTTTTCTATTTATACAAAGCTCTTATGTTTCAGAGTTTCCTAGCTCAGAAGTCTTTAACTGCACAATTGCAAAGAACAGGAGTACTTGCTTCTAATGAGTGCATTTCTATGTTTACTGAGGATTATGGAAAGTTCAGAACATGTATATAACTTCCTTCTTACTGCTGCAATCTTTCTATGGTGATTTTCTATGCCTAGATAATTTGTTTTATTTCCCTTAATTGTAACTGTCATCAGTGTGGGCCGAGCAAGGTGATGAGCTAAGCCTTGAATATACTGGAACTCATGCCTTGAAAGGGGACCTGGTTCGGTAAGTTGAAACAAAAAGCAATGTTCTAGCAATTACTTTTTGTTCAATTAATGTTCTATTTGTGTAGTTTTGGATATGTTGTCATTTCTGCAGATATGGAAGACAGACTTTAGGCGGAATAATCAAAGATGGATTAAGTGCTATTTCAAGATATTATTTGAATAATTTTCAAGATGGAGTTCGGCAGGCAAGCTACCCCTTTATGTTTTTAATTTAGTACTGTTATTCACTTGAAGAGAGCCAGGCTCTTGCTATACATCCTTGAAACTTGCTTAAATAAATTTCACATGTTTTCAGGACGCATTGGATCTTATAAGTGGCCACTACACTGTCAACAGAAATGGTCCTTCACCGTTCCAGCTTAATGGATTCGAATCATTCTCTGTATGCAAATATCTTTCTATTTTTTGTATTTAAGCATGCATGTCCTGATATTCTTTAACAGAACTCCTTTTCAGATTGTATTAATAGAAAAGAGCCCTTCACTCTTTTTTAACTCTTTATCAATTTGGTGGTAGTTTTCTTTGAACTTTTTGTTGCTTGCCTACTTATCCTGTTTTCCAATTCTGCATTCTATTTTACATGCTTGTAGATAGACCTAGCCACGGTCCAATTCCGGCAAAAAAATAATAATAATTTATTAAGAGTTTTGCTGCATTGCTTCTGGCCGGTTTGGAATCGGACTGAACTGGCAGTTCTGAGCTGGGTTCTGATTCTTCTGAACTTTGAACCAAAAATTCACTTTCGGACCTGGTTATGGTTTATGTAGGCATATTTTGTTTTTACCAGACAAGGGATCTGATTGACAAAATGAAATATTGCAGTATCTCCCAGTCGCGTCAGCTTTGCTTATTGGAGGGTTAACACTGACTTCCTTGACTGCTCAACAAGGTATTACTATACTGTTGTTTTGGTTTTGTTGTTCCGGAGTTTTTCTTTATTATTCCAACAAGAGATGATATTTGATCCTATTTGTTTAACAGTGGGGCGAAATGCGCAGCAGTATGTGTCTACTGTGCTGTGGGCTGGAGTGGCTGCTGGAGCAATGGCTATTGTCAAAGCTAATGGAAGGCAGTTCTGTTCTAGGCCTCGCTTGTGTAGCCTATTATAAGTGTAATAATCACTAATTGCACTTGAGAGACTTGTAAGATACATATATTATATATCACTATTAGAAATGATGATCATTTTTCTTCGTGCCAATAAAAATTAGTCATAAATAATCATTCCTTTATCTGAATGACGTGTCAATTATCCAAGAAGAAAACATATAAAGATAATCAGCATGTACATGTAAAACAATATCGCTAATACAGCATATGATCTCCTTTTTGGACTTATTTGGCTCGTGGGATTAAATAACAGGGAATACAATACATAGCTGTCTTACGGAATAAAATGCTCATTTACTCGCTCTACAAAATTTGCATTTGCTTAATTATGAAAAATATTTATTGATCATAGGAGTTTAATGAATAAAGTCGATACAATAACATATAAATCTACTTACCCAACTAAATAAAGATTATTTCCTGAAAACTAATACTTACTTCGTCGCATTTTATTTGTTTGTTATTTCTTTTTTAAATGTTTTAAAATGTTTGTTAAATTTTTCAATTTATACATGTAAATAATTATTTTTTTCATTATAACTTTTATGATTTTTCATTAAATGAAGGATTTTTATTCATATCTTAACGAGTTAAAGATTAAAAATAACTTTTGTTGATTAAATTCTTAATATGTCTGTTTTATCAAACTATGTGAACAAAATAAAATGGAAGGAGTAATATATAAATCTTATATATATATTGTTTTTATAATTATCATGTCACTTATATTTCTCCTGTAATGCACTACACATTGAACAAAATTATATTATCAATATAATTCATTTCTATTTTACAAAAATATTTTTATCTCAATAGAAGATATTATTAGCGATCTCAAATTTAATTATATTGTATTTTATAATAAAAATAATTGTTTTAATTTTATAGTCTCAAATGTTTTTCAAGTAAACTAATTTAATACGAACTAAAGATTGTATATTAATAATTTTTTAAAATTTTCAAAATAGAATAAATAGTTAATGTATTAAAAATTAATACTTTTCCTACGATCTAGTATATTTAATTAATATTAATTATTTTTACGAATTATTATATAGGAATCTTATGAAAAAGTAAAAAAAAAAATATATTTTTAAAATGTAAATAGAATATTTTAGGGCATCCAAACAAGAAAAAAAGAAACTGTCATTATAATTTGGGACGAACTGACTAATACTACTCCATTAATTATTTTTTAGTTTCTTGGCTATTCAAATCTCATCGTGAACCCTTTCAAAAAACAAAAAAAAAAAAAAAAAAAAAATTTCTTGGCATATTCAATCTCATCGTGAACCTTTCAAAAACAAAAAAAAAAAAAAAAAAAAAATCTATCTTGAAAAAAAGAACTCCCAATCGCATTTTTTTTTTTCAAAAAAAAAAAGGACAGAAGGTAATTGTATTTTAAATACAATGCTCGTGTATGAAGTATAACGTTTCCCTTCTAAAAAAAAAAAAAAAAAAAAAATCTCATCTTGAAAAAAAAGAACTCCCAATCCATTTTTTTTTTTCAAAAAAAAGGACAGAAAGGTAATTGTATTTAAATACAATGCTCGTGTATGAGTATAACGTTTCCCTTCTCTGACAGGAGAAAGTGGGCGGCTCGTTTGACTCAGAAGAACGAACAGTACCAAAAAATTGGAAAAAACAATAATCGGAAGAAGATAACCAACGAAGATCAGGTTCGAGTTCTAGCCATTGTAAGTATTTACCATCTTAAAGATGAAATTTTATTGTTTTATTCGTGTTTCTAGTTTAACAAGTACTGCATTTACTACTTTCTCAAAATCCTATGTAGTGAAGATTTATCTCTTGTTTGTTTTCCCGGAAGATATTTCACTAACAAGCACTAATTGTTGTCGTCTTCAGCTTCAAAAGGGTGAAAAAGTTCAAAACGACGCTAATGCGCTAGTAGAAAATTATGAAATTAAGCTGTCTAGGTTGGTTTGACTCGTTGTTTAACTCGGTGAAATTAAAAATCTTTCCTACGAGATATAGACGAATTATAGGCTCAACTTGATTTGGTTATTGATTAGGCTTTTGTTTCAGCTATTCAAATTTTAATTTAACTTGTAATTGGAAACATGGACTAACAGCTTCTGACTTGTTCTTAATCTTCCATGGGTATATTGTATGTGTTATAGTGCACTTGTCAGTACTTCGCTGATTATTCTTTGCAATGAAACTTGTGATCACAATTGTAATTTATTGAGAAAATTTGATTTTGGTAGCAAAGTAGAAATGGAAAGAATAGCGTCATCGGTCTAGAAAATTTTATTTTTCAGGGTTTTGTATGTCGTTAATCATTAGAAATTTTGAGTAATCAATTTTTGGCTTCATTATTGAGTTATTGGCTAGAATGCCAACTCATGATTAGTTTGTTATTTGTAAACTCAATCACTAAAATCAAATTAGTTTCATGTTCTTACAAGTAAATGTATGATGCATGCAGAGAATTTGTAGTGTGGAAGTTCAGAGAGAATGGCAAAGCATCATCCTGACTTAATCATGTGCCGGAAGCAAGCAGGGATTGCTATTGGACGGTTATGTGAGAAATGTGATGGAAAGTGCGTAATTTGTGACTCTTATGTGCGTCCATGTACGCTAGTTCGAGTCTGTGATGATTGTAACTATGGATCTTTCCAAGGTCGATGTGTTATCTGTGGAGGAGTGGGTATTTCTGATGCTTATTATTGCAAAGAATGTACTCAACAGGAGAAAGACCGAGATGGGTGCCCAAAAATTGTCAATTTAGGAAGTGCAAAAACAGATTTATTCTATGAACGGAAGAAGTACGGCTTTAAGAAAAGATGACAAGCAGGGATAGTAATGTTTTTGGCATGGTAAAATTAACAAATGCCTATTTCTAATTTTAATTTTTTCAACTGAGATTTTGATTTGCAAGGACAGGCTCAGAGTTCATGTCTTACATCGATCAGATCCCAGAATTGGTAATTTATTTGGTTCCTTGTGTTAGCAACTTGGGATGTAGAGTATTTGTCATTTTATGATGTGGGGTAAGCTTAGGCTTTCAATTTTGTTGGAAGGCACTTGTCTTGTTTTAGATGATTTATGATGTTCTTGTGAGCAAGGTCATCTCCGCAATTCAGATGTCCTCATCTGGATCAGATGAATTACATTTGTACTTTTGTGCATTAGATCAGCTTCTTATTTATGTCGCATTTGAGTTGTGAATTGTGACTTCACTCAATGTTGGCAATTTAGCAGCTACCTTTGAATCATTAATTGTGCATTTTGAAGATTATTTTCATGGGCTGACTTCAGCTCTCTGATTCAGTGATTGAAAGTTGTTTCTTTCCCCTATTATTTAAGGGCAAAAGCAATCTGAAGTCTTGCTTGGGTTAGAGTACTGTTAAAACAGGTCTAACTCCGCAGATGGCTCGGGGTTGCCTAATATTTTTTTCAGATCTGAACAAGAGAATTGAGGATCATTTTCAAGATGGACATTTTTTCCTGGCACGTTTTGAGAGCAGGCCCGTGCGGGCCGAACTAGATGGATCTATGGACTGCCCGCTTTAGGAGGTCAGAGAAAATTACATTACTGCAGGCAGAACTTTAAAGAAAGAGGAGAGATTTTCACAATAGTGGGCCTGATTTTCTATAATAAAAGTACATCAGATTTCCTATTTTTTTTAAAATGGATATGTTCGCCCCCGTCCTCAAGTGTGCTGCGGGCCGAGTCGAGCTTGAACATTGAAAGTTCATTTTTTTAACAGGCTTTTTGACTCGGTCTGTTTTGAGACCGAGCGGGGCTGCCTGTTTTGACATTACTAGCTGTGGAACATCACATTATAACTGGTGTAAACTAGCAGTAGCTTGAGTTTCATGCTCAATAAAGCTGTCTTTTCGGATTGTTCTGTTCTCATTCTCAGTATCAATTCCAAGGGGTAATGTTTTTAGTCAGGATGTAAATGAGCATTTTGTTGGTAATATGTTATTAACACCTTCGATTTGAAAAATATTCATCGAAATCAAATCAAAATATTTGAAGCGAATGGTTTGAGTAAATTAGATTCATAAGATAATATATCAAGTTAAATTTAGTTTAATTAGGTATTTTATTTAATTTTGGGCTGACTTTATCGAGTCAAACTCACGGGTCATTATTCAGAGTTAAGCTCGATAAGTTAAAATTAAATATACATCCATATAAAATTATTTCAATTTAATAGATTTTGAAGTCAAATTCAAATTTGGCTCATTTATGATTATTTGCAAGTTTGACTACTTCTGATCTGACCTCACAACCAGAGCTGGGCTTGGCTCATTCAAAGTTGTATTTGAAACATTTTTCTGCACATCCCTGCTTCAAGCGATAGGAATTTGACTAAAAATAACATGGCTCGTGCGGGTTTGCTTTGCTTTGAATCCAACAATGTTACTTTCTTCGTCCAATTTAATATGCAATTCTTAAGAATTTCATTGGTCTAAATCTGTTACTTTGAGGAAATTCAATAGCATCATTTTTTTAATTTTATCATTACACAATAATTATTTTTACAATTTCAACTATTTTTACAATTTTTTTAAAACTAATTGTTGATATGGGAGTAATTAATGAGGAAAAAAATAACTTAAATCAAATGATATTTTATTATATTTTAAATTATTAAATTATTTGTTGAATAATATGTGAAAAAACTTAAGTGAAAATAAAAATAGGATAAACCATCTGATATATCCTAAACTTTATAATTTGTATTGATTATATCACAAAATGATTTTAATCTTCGACTTCACAATTTGTATCAATTGTACCCTAAAATGCATCAATTGTACCCTAAAATGATCTTAATCCCTCGTATACTCCAAAATGACATTTTTATTAAAATTGCATCTTAATTTTAATTTGGTAAAAATTAGATAATAAAAAATAATATATTCAACCAAAATAAACCAATTAATGAACTAAAACAATTAAACAAAACAAAATGATTAAAACTAATAATCTCAAAGTAAGAGATAAACTTATAGATTGCAGAAGAGAAGACAAGATCGATGGCCAAATTGGAATCCCTGGCGCTAATGGACAGGGTTCGGTGTTGGAAATGTAATCTCCTTTCTCTCGATAGGCCATTAATTCAATTATTTCTCTAACTCGAGCCAATTGAGAGTTTTTCCCTTTGTCTAGTGGGAGAATCAGACGGCGGTTTCTTAGAAGAGCGAGTGGAAAAAATTTAGATCGGGAAGGAGAAGGAGATGGAGGCTTCTTGTTGGGCATCTCAGTAGCAACAAGTTCGAGTCGGGTTTGAGACCATTCTTGAGCTTGAGATTGGATTATCGGAACGAAGATACGAAGAAAGGCGCCTCTAGTTGTCTCAAATTGCAACGGAGGAGAGAGGCGAGAGAGGTTGCTAACTTGTGGGACTTAAACGATGCGTTTTGTGCTCACCACTTAAGTAACTCAAGCTACAGTGTGTGTCAAATATATTATTTTTTATTATCTAATTTTGAGTTTTGACCAAATTGAAATTAGGATACAATTTTAATAAAAATATCATTTTGGGATTCCTGAGGGGTTAAGGTCATTTTGAATACAGCTAAAAATGGTTTTATATCTAATGCTTCCTGGGCAAGTGCTATTATCAATTTCCTTGCCGCCGCAAGCAAGTGATTGGCATGTTTAAACTTGCGGTCCACTAATTCTTTGTAGCTAATATCTAGAAACTTCTGGTACTCGGCCAATAATTGAAGTTGGATATCAGCTACTAGGTATTCCTTACTTCCTCGTAATGGAAACTTTAATGCCACGTAAGATAAGAACGAAACAAACAAAAAAAACTGACGTCTTCCAACCCAACTTGACTTATTTTTTTTGAGCCATTTTGCAATTCCACAGAAAATAAAATAAGAAAGAAACAAAACTGACGTTTCCCAGTTCAACTTGGCTTTCTATTCTTGAGCCATTTTGCAGTTCCGAGACGTGGCGCTACTGCCACGCTGTTATTTGGAGACCAAACCCTAACCGCTGTTGATAAAAAAAATAATATCCATTTCCTAACCACAGTCTACATTTCAAACAAACTCCACCGTTCTTGACTCGGTGTTTAATAACTGTCTTTCCTAGGGATAATGGTTTTTCTACAAGAATCTCTACCTTCCTTGTCTACTTCTAACTTCCACTTGACCGACTCCTTTTATCCTTTACTTGCGTGCTAAGGTAGATAATTTAAGTATCATGATAAAATCCGACTTCTCTATACCTAGTATATGAAAGAATTGGATACATGGAATCAATTCATGAAAAAATATTTTAGATATTTTTTTTCCAACACCATTCAGAGTTCTTTTTGTATTCCTTAACTACGAAGTTTCAATTTGTTTCTTTTCTTTAAAAAAAGAAAAAGAAAAACCATTCACTATATAATAACAGAGCGGAGCAAGGTCACACATACCAGATCATTTATCTTCCTTTCTTTTCGGCTTCTCTTCTTTTTACCGGCTGGTTCTTCTGGTAATTTTATGCCTCACGGATCAGGAAAAGGAAGAGGTGACGCCAATGCTGGGTCGTTCGAGGAATTTTTTGAAGGATGGCTTGTACGGCAGGAGCACTATCTCGACGAACTTCTTTCTGTTGAGCAACATTATCACGAATCTCGCGATGAGGATCTAAAAGATCTTATTGCCAGAGTTCTATCTCATTATGAACAGTACTATGAAGAGAAGTCTCGGATGGCTCAACGAAATGTCTTTCTTGTCTTTTCTCCGCCTTGGTTCACTCCATTTCAGCGTACCCTTCTCTGGATCGCCGGTTTCAAACCGGCACTGACTTTCCAAATAGTTAATGGTTCGGTCAACGATTTATCTGAAGATCAGAGTCAACGGATGAGTAGGTTAAATGAGGAGACTACAGCGAGTGAGAGAATATTGACAGATGAGTTAGCGAGAATTCACGAGAGTGTAGCGTCGCCGCCGTTGCTGGATTTGGCGAGACGGCAAGGGAGGGGGAGGTGGGAAGAAGACGAAGTATCATATAAATCGACGATTGGTTCGGCGATGGAGTCGCTGGTGGCGACAGCGGATCTATTGAGAACAAATACGGTGACTAAAGTGGTGGAGATACTGAATCCAGTACAGAATGTGAAGTTTTTGAGTGCAGCAACTCAACTTCATCTTAGAATTAGAAATTTGGGTTTACAAAGGCAACGTCACAGATGTTGACAATGAAATTGCAATATGTTCGAGAGAGATAGGGTAGCAACAATGGTCAGTGAAGCTTCGTTGTCTTCATAATGTTGATATTTTTCGAGCTCGTGGGTAAAGCCATTGAGGTTTGATTAGAGGTTAACGGTTACCTTACAGATAAATTAACAGAGGTTTGATTAGAGGCTAACGGTTACCTTATAGATAAATTAGTAGCGTGTGCTTGTCCTGTGCTTATAGTCTGTACTCGACCCTAACGCCACCTTCGCTATAAATAAAAAATTAAAAAAAAAAAAAGGTTATAGAAGATGGAAGAGGTCCGTCTCGTGTATGTTAAAGCCACCCATCGGTCTGATTCAAACTAAAATCAGACTGGTACCTACTCGGCAGAACTGAACTGAAATCAACAGTAGTTTCAATTACGCACCAAACCAAATTATTGGTTCGCAGAACCAGTTCTTATCCGAAGCCATCAATTCAGTCAACTAACTCTGTATTCAGATAGAGCTACCTTAGTTCAACGAGCTATAAAAAATTAGCGAATTCCAGTATATCTATTAACTCTGAACCAGCTACAATTTCCTGCCATGAATATAATCCAAAGTTCTAGAAATCAATTCTTTTAGGTCCCCTAGCTGGTAATTCCAAACCAAGGCCATGAGCAGAATTTCGTTAACTTATTTCACATGTCATGTTCTATATTGTAATATTCTATTCTATGATTTCCCTTTTTATGGATCATTAAGTTGCTTTCTTGAATGGCAAAAGACCTTTGTAGCACAAAAGCAGAACCTTGTTTGTAATTCAGAGGCGGCTTTGCTTGCTCACTGCTGCTGGCTTAAAACTGGCAATCCCGGTGACTTCTCTACCAGTTACCAAAGTGTTTATGTCATATGTGCCTTCATATGTGTAGATGGGTTCCAAATCACAGAATGCCTGCGACATTACCGTGATAAACAAAAATGTTAAGTTTGTGAATATGGATAGAACAAAGCATCAGCCTCGTGCTAACAAAGAGGCAGTCAATTAGGTTTGTTGCTGAACATTTATGGAACTAAGTATAAAACACAGATCTCGTAAACTATGAGGCAAGTTCTTTTCCCTTTTATATGCAGATCATACTAATCTCACCAATTTATCATGTCTAATAAATAAGAATTAATGTTTCAAGAAAGAAGAGAGCATGAAAACCTTGGCAACTAGAAAATCAGACAATATTCCATTGCCACCAAGCAACTCTCGTCCAATAGAAGCTGTCTCCCTTGCTCTCAAAGTGATCCATGCCTAAAGATAAAAACAATATCATGACAAATAGACAATAAAAGAGTAAATTTACTGCAACATTCTGTATATTAGATCATACCTTTGCCATGCTTGCATGTCCAGGAGTCATTTTACCCTTTTCATACAGCTTGCAAAGGCGCCACCCTACGAGTATCATTGCTTGAACGTTGCCAAGCATGTGAACTAGTTTCTGTTGGTTTATTTGGAAAGCAGCCAACGGTGCTCCAAACTGTTTCCTCTCTTTTAGATACCTGTAAATCAGTTAAAATGAAGAAAAGGATGCTCAGAGAATGAACACTAAAGTGAAATGCAACAGAGCTATGGACATACCATAATACCTGTGACACATGTCATAGATTCCCATTGATATGCCAATAGGCTGCCAGGCAACCATTACACGTGAAACAGCTAGAACCTGGTTTGAATATCAGTAATCAGAGAAGTGCTGACACTTTCCCCAAATAACAATAATTCAAAACTTCTTACAACATAAGCATATCATGTTTCACCATTAGTACATAGTTCACCAAACTGACCATTCAAGCTTGATTATGAGAATTTGATTTTTTTTTTTTTTTTCTTTATCTAAAGAGCAAACCATATACAAGACAAGTGCCACAGAGGACTTACACAAATCCATCTTAAAAATGTATGCAGGAGCCATGTCAAATGCAATGCTGGGTGACATTTTGAAGGCAAAGCAATTTCCAAGTTATGCCTACTTTCGTTACAGGCCGATAGTAGAGGAGAGATTAAAATTTCCACGCGAACTTGGGTGGTTTGAATCTCAATAGTATCATTTGGGTGATGTGAATATGATGGCAGGAGCCGCTATTGAGTCATAATAAGATCATTTATGTGATATAAATATGATGGTATTAGAGGTTCATCTGGTCGAATGTGTTATTAATGCCAGATTGACATTGTAGTTTTGAAATGAAAGTTGAAGAAGCATCAATGGTGGCATCTTTCCTACACAGCAAGCAAGCTTGGTAGCCATTTGGCTAAATTGCATTGCATTCTATTCAGGCAAATGACAAGTGTGCGGATTTGCAATTGTAAAAACTTTAAAAAGTTCTCCATTCCTTCAACATAAACAGCACATAAGTGGATTATTCCAACTAGGGCTCTAAATAAATCAAGCTATTCACAAATGATTCGAGGCTCAGTTCAATAAAAGCGGGGCTCAGTTTGAGTTCAATTAATAAATGAACTGAACTCAAAAAAATTTTAGACTCATTTAATAAATGAATCAATCTTGAACATGAGGTAGTTCGGCTTGATAAGTCTTGTGAGCTGTCTCATTCATAAGACTAGCGAACAAACTCGTGAACGAGCTCATTTAATAGGTTCATTTATTAGACTCATGACCTTGCTCATTTAATAGGCTAGTGAAGGAGCTCGTTTACGAATTTATTTCTACTTATTCTATTTTATTAATAACCATTTCAAAAATTATTGTATTAAAAAATTGCTAAATTATGATATGATTTTAAGTTAGTGGTTACAAAAATACAACGAGATGAAATTATGATTTTATTGTTGATAATATTCTAAAAAAGAAAACATGTTCTTATGCCAAAACTACATAGATAAGGAAATAGCTTTCTTTTGTATTGATAATGATAACTAGCATTACAATTATAAATATTATTCTAATATAATTATATATTAGAATACCAGTTACAACTATGATAATTGGTATTATAATCACATAAAATATACTGTTGATAATATCCTAAAAAAAGAAAAGCATGTTCTTATGCAACTACATAGATAGGAAATGCTTTCTTTTGTATTGATAATGATAACTAGCATTACAATTAATAATATTATTCTATAAATTATATAATTAGAATAACCAGTTACAAACTATGATAATTGGTATTATAATCACATAAAATATACTTATATTATATATTATATATAATATAATATATACTATATATATAATATATAAAATATTTATTAATAACAAATAGTTTAATAGTATTGTAAATTAATGGGATTTCTTATTTATTATAACAAATAGTTCTAATAGTATTGTAATTATGGTATTTCTTATTTATTAGTAATATTTATGGATAATAAAATAATTATTAAAAATAGTAATAAGATTGATTAGCTATTATCGAGCTCGAGCTCTGAATCAGCCCAAATACAGGCCTAAACTAGAATTTTTATCGAGCCTAAATTCGAGGTCGAACTCAAGCAAACATAAACGAGCTCGAGCTTCAAAATGCTCGATTGAGATTGATTCGTTTACAGCCTTATTGCCAACTAGGAATTTGATGATAGACCAAAAAAATGCAAAAAATACATAAAAAATTAAGGCCGCAATCAAAGTAAGAAATCATATCAGTTGTACCTTACTTGTATCTTGAAAGGAGTTGACACCAGGTAACCTGTCTTCATCAGGGACAAAAACTCGTTTCAACAAAATATCTCCATTCTGGACGATTCTCAAGCCAATTTTATTTTCTATTTTTGTAACTGTTAATCCTGGGGCATCCTTCTTTACAATAAATCTGAAACAAATAGCAAAAGTAACTTATGTAAAGAATACTGCCAACAAAGATGAGAATTGTTCATTGTACTGTTCTGCAAACAAAAGCAAAAGGAGGACAACAACAAAATATGGAATTATAATCCCGGCATATGGAGTAGCACTATAAATGGCCTAACTTACATAGCAAATAAAACTACATGGCCTCAACATATCAAACCTAGAGACTAGAAACAAAAGTTATTTTACATATTCCGAGCCACCATAAATTCTCAGTTTTTACAGTATCAATTCCTTGAAAAGTCAGCAAGCTCGTTCAAGACAAGCTCGGATTGCCAGATATCAGCTAAAATCGGCTTTGAACCAAGCACAACTGGCACTATATTTATCAAGCTGACACCAAGAGTTCAGTTAGCATACTCATTTACAGGCTAAATAGAGACACAAGGTTTGGGAAACAAGAGATCTTTATCCATTAGCATTAATTAGAGGATACTTGGTTCAGCTGATTGATGCAGAAGATAGCCAATTCATACCTAACAATTAGGTTTTAGGTGTTTTGTAATGATTTAGATCAGTGGCAGAAAGTTGATAGTCCCAATTAGCTGTTAATTTCATCATTTACATTTCGAAACTTTTTTATATTAGCTGGTAGCTGATTTACATTTATAATATATTTGAACTTCCTTAACCTCATAAAAATAATTACTAATAAACTTATTCTTTTTCAAATTAATATTTTTTATCATTATATTTATATAAAGATCAATAAATTTCTATTGAATATTATTTTTAAAAAATAATTAATTAATATTTTTTATTTGTATAGCACATTAAATTAAAAATTAATTTTTCACCTTAAGAATAAAACTTACTCTTTTTCAATTAATTAGTTTTTATCAATTATATTATATAAAAGATCAATAATTTCTATTGAATATTATTTTTAAAAATAATTATATTAATATTTTTTCATTTGTATAGGCACATTAAATTAAAAATTAATTTTTTCACCTTAAGAATAAATATATATAATATATATAAATATATATATATTAGACAACATATTATATAAAAACGACTACACCCTTAATGGTTATTTACATTTTAATAACAACTAATACCAAAATTTTACTAAACACCAATGTTCACCAGCCACCAGCTTTTATCAACTATCAGTTGTCAGCTAGTATGAACAGCTAAACCATACTAGCCTTTATTCATATTATTCATATCCTGTAACAGCACAAAAAAATGCATGTGGATAGTGGGCCTCCGCAAGTCACTACTCATATAGCAGCCAATCTAGGTATCCCTAAAGACCTAGTAATCTTAACTAGGATACATTTTATTAACTTGTACCTGCACCTCATATAATTTTTATTATGTTATAGTGCATATGCATTCATCAAAAGGAAGTCAAAGAATGTCATGGACAAGGACAAAGTGTAGTTTATTTGCACAGATATGTAGTGTCCAAAAGACACAATTTGGAATCTACATGTGAAAAATCAGGCATCTGCATACATCCACTGACATTCTTTGGTGAACATGCATTCATATCTGATTTAATTACTGCACATCTATAACGACTTTGGTTTCCTGCGAATCTTTAAGCCAATTAAGTGAAATAGAGCCCAGACATAGGCATAATATCAACAAATAATTGTCATGCTAATCATAGGACACACTTTGGTATAGTAACTGACATACCCATTGATCTGATTTGTTGAGGTATTCCTAGCAAATATAACCAACAAATCTGCAAAGGTACTGTTTCCTATCCAGCGCTTTTGGCCTTCAAGTACCCAACCTCCTTCCACCTGATCATCCCAATACAAAAGGGAGAAAAACATGTAGCATGAAATTCAACACTATAGTAGCATGAAATTCTACGCTATAGAAAAGAATACAAAATAAGTATTTGAAAAGGTAAAGACATATAAAATCAATAGCTCAAACCTTGTTCGCTGTAGTTTTCAAGGCGCTTGCATCACTTCCATAGTCAGGCTCAGTCAAAGCCTTAAGAAGAAGGAAAGCATACCTATGTAAGTTGAATGTACCAAAAACAAATACCAAATACAAACACTACCCATAAGCCAAAGGAAGCCACTTACCCAACAAGCTATAGTACTTAACTGAGCCAGAGAAGGTAAATATTTCTGCTTTTGGACCTCTGATCCACAAAGTGCTGATATTGACAGTTCAGAGAACTTAGATCAGGTAATATTTTATCAGCATTTTGATTTAAGAGGAACACTGTCACTGGAAACAAAATCCAAGAAACTATGATGATAACAAGAAGCGAGGAAAATGCAATCTCAATTTCACCTATGGTGAGCATTGCCAGAGATGAATGCACCAAAATGAAGGTAGAACAGCTCGCATCAACTCTAGCAACTTCTGCTGTAGCAATAGCACTTCCAGCGAGCGACATACCAGGACAACCGTAACCCTGGGATTGAGAACTGTTTAATCATCCAATTCCATGTGGTTTCCACCTTTGGGAAGAAACAAAACTATATATATAGACATAGAACTAAAAAAAGCAAAATATGAAAAGATACCTTGATTGTGCCACCAGCAATGCGCAGGGAACCAAGCTTGGGAATAACATGAAAGGGAAAACTTGCCTTCTCCCAGTACTAAGGAAAATATAAATTACATAACAATTGCTTTATTTCTGAAAATATCTCCATGTAATCCATAAACGATAATCAAAATGAAATAACAATACAACACCTTAGCTGTCACATACACAAAAGAACTTAGCGACTCATATTGCTAATGAAAATTTGGGGGTATTGTTCGAAACATACCTCTGCCATTATAGGAGCTACTTCCTTTTCCATACATTCTCTTACTTTCATTCTAACAGCATGCTCCTCGGAAGTCAGGAGGTCAGAAAATTGGAAATAGTCGGATGCTGCATTTTTTCAAGACAAATTTAAAAATAAGCGAGCAAAATAGCATGAATTCTCTTTAAAAGTAATTGTTACAGAATTGTATCAGATTTAGACTCAGTGGCGAGATAATTCGTGTAGAAAAACTGAAATCAATCCAGTGCTCTATTGATGCATGAATTGCTTATGGAAACTACAGAATGTTAGCATGTTATTAAAGCCCAAGATTATCGTATTACATTAAAAATACATATCTAATTATCTATGTTCTTACTGCAAGGAGGAAATATGGATGCTGGAGTTGCTTGAGGAAATGCAACGGAAACATCTAACGGTGGCAAGTTAAAATAAGAACTCTTTGCACTTTCTTCAAGATCAGCTGCGAAAAAAATGACACACATACTTAATGGACAACAAGAGAATCTTACTTCCAATCATGTGCAAAATTCAATCACAAAGTTAATAAAAAGAACAGGATACGATAAAGAGGAGTTCCAGGATAATTAAAAGAGCATCAAGAACAAAAATGAAGTAGTAACAAAAAGGAAAAATGTTAAGTCTTTTTAAACGTACATACTGTGCAACAAACCTAATAAATAGAAGCAAGTAATTCCTCAGCAGAAAATTTTTGAACGGTAAAAAAAGGGATTTTAAAAAATATCCTTATCTCCATAGAATTGAAACATCTCGTTAATGCCCCTTCCAAAGACATTCATACAATTGATTAAAGCGTGTTAACTATCTTTTTATCCGTATTTTGAGCTAGCTTTGCAGATTCTCTCAAACTAATTGCGAGCATCTATACAATCCTAAGCCTAAAAAGCTTCCACAACATTTAATTTCACATCCACAGATCTTTATCTCTACCATAATAATATTCACACCTATCACAAGAAAGAAGCAGCCACAGGCCTTCAAGTTTCACTTCTAAGCTTTTCAAACTTAAGCTTGATTAACACAAACGGTAAATTCATCGTTTCAATAACACATACCCAGTACCAAACAATTAAATAATCAAAGGATCATTCCTCCTTAACGAGGAAATTGAATATAAAGCAAAAGCATACTCGAAGTTTAAAATCGATAATTAGCGATGAACATTATGGAAATGAAAAGGGGGAAAACCTCGATTTTTAGAAGAGTGGATTGTCATGATTGAAGATCGGGGATGATTGCTTTAGGGTTTATTTACAAAGACCCAATGTGCAGAGTTTAATGGAAGAAGAAAGGCAGACAGTAGTTTTATTGAATTGGATCATTAAGATGTAACGACGAATTAAAAAAGGAAAGAAACTTCCAACTGAAAAGTCATGGTGAGATGTGATTGTTACAGGATAAGAACGGCACACAGATTCATGCCCGGCATAAACAAAACTGTAATAATAATAAAAATATAATATCGCGTCGAACCGGCCTCTGGTCAAAGCTTCCCGCTAAATGTTTAACTGACATTTACCTTACCCGTTAGGTTTGATAAACCCCAATGCATCGCAATCAAAGAAAATTGGGAAAGTCCATCATGAAGATTTTACTATAAATTACCATAAATTTTCGATCAAATCTTTAATATCTAAAATAAGAAATTGACAAAATCAAATAAGTTTTACAGTAGTATAAAATTTTGGTATTGGAAGAGTGAGAATTCGAAAACTTATATACTTTGATGTTTTGGTTTCTTTTGTAATTGGAAATGTGATTTAAGTTTTTAATTTTTATTCACAACATGTTAAATTGTTGAATTAAGGTGGAGTGATACAGAAAAGGAAAGAACACGAGGGATAGATGAATGGGCAATATTGTACTTTTAGAAATTTAATGTACAGGTCACGTGATAGGGTGGGGAGTGAGGTTTTTTTTAGTACTCCTTGGTTTAATCCTCCAGAGCTGAACAGCGTAGAGTTGTTTTTTCTCTTCCTGATGATAACGATTGAATTTATATTCTCGTGTTTACGAAAATTGGTGTTGCAAACCGCCTCAATTATTTATACGGGTGATCACTTATTCGCCGAAAAGATTTTGTCCATGTGGACATTTGATTAGACCAAAAAGTGGACCCCGCTTCCTTAAATCATTCTGGTGGCCAACTCAATGGTGTCTACTTGGTTGTAAATATTTTTTAAATTTAAGCGCTCAATTATAGGTTTTTTTTTGACAATTAAAATTAATTATTTTGATAATTTTTTTTTTTCTTTAGTAGCATTTTTCTGGTTAGTTGGGGTAGTTTTTTTATACGATATTAAAAATTAAAAATTAAATGATGCATAAATTAATTTTTTATAAAATATTATTTTAATATTTAAAAATTAATTCATACGTTATATTACCGAATATTATAAAAAAAATAACACTTGTAAAAACACAAGTTCGATCCATTTTGTACGATTTTTTTAAGAAGACAAATGAAATGGAAAATAAAATTATCTTAGACAATTCAATATTGAAAACACTTATTACATAGTTAAAAAATATACTATTATTGTCTAGAAAATATGCTAACTATTTATCAAAATATTATTATCAGTATAAAAAAATATGTAATGTTATCAAAATTTATAAGCTGAAGTGCCCATGCACAAAATTCTGAATATCATATAATCAAATTTGTAAAATTTAAAAGTGAAATTATATATTTAGCTGTTTTTATTTTAATTATAACTGCATGATTTAATTTCACTCTGCAACATGAATTAAACTTGATTTTATTTCCTCCTTTCCGATAACACTCGGATCTGCTCTCCTTAAACCGCTTAAAAGGCCAATCACACTTGGATTTGCTTTCCTTTGACTAATTAAAGGGTGGAGGAATGCAATCAGTTCATCTAATTTGGTTAATATATGAATTTTTTTAATTAAAAAAATTATACTTTTAAAATCTTGATTTTATATACATTGTTTGTTATATTTTTATTTATAAAAATACTATAATTAGAAAATGATTAACACTAATATATATGTCGTATTTGATATTTTCTATTACCTGCATAAATCCTAGATTTTTTCACATTTTTTTTAATGAAAAAACTTATATATTGAAACTGAGAAGCAGCCAAGCGAGATATCGATCTCCATATCTTTCGCATGTTCAGAATACACTCAACCACCTGAGCTACAATCCCTATGAGGTAGACTAAGTATCTAACAAATATACCAATTAAAAAAGAAGTGCCGGAAAGCTATGGAATGCTTGTCCCATTGACTGGTAGAGCAGCGCTGGTCAAGCAATGTAGCATCGGTATAATCACTACAACGAAGAAGCAATTAACTTCTTTCAATTTTTATATTACAATTCTTTTTTTTAAAAAAATTTCAAATAAAACCAATTCAAATTCGCATTTTGCTCATCGTCCTGGGTCGCCATGATTGCCGCGAAGCGATTGATACAGAAGGCTGTGCACCACCACCACCACCGCCAGGAGGTATAAACATAATCGCTTTTTATTTGATTATGACTTGGATTAGGGTTTCATTTCTCTTGTTTAAAAAGAAGTCGACAAATTTGCAGTACTAGTACAAACCAGTGCTTATTAGTCATTAGTATCGTCCAAAGGAAAAATATTGTTTTTATCTTCTTCTACTTTCTTTTGAGTCAGCTCGATGTGCAACGTGGCAATTTGGCATCGACGGACTTGGATTTGCAAGTCGCTGTTCACTATGGTATCCCGTCTACGGCGTCCCTTCTTGCTTTTGACTCCATTCAGCGCTTGTTGGCAATTGGAACACTGTGAGTTAAATCGTCTCTTTCTTTATTTGCACATCAAACTTGTAGAATACACTTGACTTACATGAATTTCGATTGTTTTCCACTGTTCGTTTGTAGGGACGGGAGAATTAAAGTGATTGGTGGTGATAGAATTGAAGCTCTTCTCATATCCCCAAAGCAATTGCCTTTTAAGAGCATAGAGGTTGTTCTTGTTCCCTTTATTTTTGTAATTTATTAAAAAAATGTTCTGTCTGTTTTTAACTGGAAATTCTGAATTCATGCTTAGTATCTTTTGGCAGTTTCTGCAAAACAAGGGTTTTTTAGTCACCATTTCAAATGAGAATGATATTGAGGTACTTTTCCTTTACCAGCTGTGCAGTTTCTGCTTCATCTTCACCATTTTTCTTTAATTGGTGTTATTTTTTAAGGTCTTGATGCCTGGAAAAATTGGGTATCAACTTAAAAGTGGAAATAGTTTGTGCAGTAATTAAAATGTATGGCTAACTGTGGCAGGTTTGGAATCTGGAGAACAGATGCCTAGCATGTTGCTTACAATGGGAATCCAATATAACTGCATTTTCTATAATCAGCAGCACCTACCTCATGTATAGCATTGACTAAATATCAAGTATTACATCAAGTGTGCGTTTAATTTGCTGCTCCTTGGTTGGAAATGGAAGTATTGCTTGATGAGTGCTGCCCTGTATTTGTATTTCGCACAGGTATATTGGAGATGAATATGGTTTGATGTCAGTGCTGAAGTATGATGTTGAAGATGGTAAACTTTTACGGTTGCCATATAGCATATCTTCAAACCATTTAAATGGTAATTTCTTATCTCAATTGCTGATTTGCCTTTTCTCTTGGCATTCTTTTTTCACATTGTGTTTTTGGGTTATATGTTTACCAAAATGAATTGTTACTTTTCTCTTATATTTTTACATGTTTTATATTCTCATGTATTTTTTTTGCTGGCTTCTTTCCCTTGTACTTTGTTTTTGTGCATCCCGTTTCAATAAATATTTTCTCATTATGGGTCACTATTTGATCATATATGCACAAGGATGATCTACATTTGCTATGAGAATGAATATAACATATTTCTATCAACATGTTTTTGGAAATTGTTCTTACATTTAGAATGGCATAAACTATTCATCTCATGATGAAAACACATATAATATGTCTGGCCTAGATTTCTGGATCACATATACATTTTAGAAGAGGCTTCTAACCAGAAAACTTACATTTTTTCTTTTCTTCCATTGAGTGCTAATTCTAACATAGTTGTAGTAAGAAATCCTGTCTTGGCAACTACTCATTTTTCACATTGTGTTGAGATCAAATTATATTGAACTTTTAGCTTTTTAGCTTCATGGCTGGTATATTTCGCTACAGCTTATACTTTACTTTATTTCAATATTTCACAGAAGCAGCTGGGTTTCCATCACCTGATCACCAACCAGTTGTTGGAGTTCTTCCTCAACCTTGTTCTTCTGGAAATAGGTGTGACACAATTTCTCATATGGTCTCGTTGGCATTCTACCTTTTGGAAGTCAGATTAAAGTCCTGGCTTCTTCATCAATTTCGCTTGATTACCTTTCCTGTTTCCTTTTTTTTTTTTTTTTTTTTTCTTTTTTTTTTTTATTATTTTTTTTCCGTCTTTTTGTTTTTTTTTTTTTTTTTTTTTTTCCGGTCTTTTGTATATTAGTTGTGACTTATTAACTTGGAATATTATAATTAGTAACCATATTGATCATTTTGCATAATTCAGACTATGGTTCTTTAGTTTGTTATATTATTTATTTGTCTGAATATGCATGAAAAGGAACCATGCACGAAGTAACATTTCTTCTTGTTCTTAACAAATCTCTCATTATATAATCGCTAATAGTGATGCAAACATTTTGGCAATGTAATGACCAATTTCTATTTCTGACAATTTAGTTCTAGTGGAACAATGGTCTCTTAGTAATGAGGTGTTTTGATGGAAAAAACCTTTGCTCTCACTCTTTCTTTGCCATCTTTCTTCTGTAATTATAATTGTGGCTGTTGTGTTTCTCGCATGAAGATATTCTATTTGCAGTTGTATGAGTGCTGAAAACTAAATTCTGTGTCTTCAATTTAAGTTTGAGGTAAACAATTTGATATCCTCCACCCCACTAAAGGCCATTCTGGACTTGCTGACATTTCAAAGTGCCTAAAGTGACACGGGAACTGTAGGGAATTAATCACAAGAAAGAAACGACATGCATACTACTAGTGCTAATTTTATAAGGCTCAAGGATGCTAACCTGAATGCCTGTACAAAAAATGAGTCACCATGCCTTTGTGCATAAAAATCAATGAATATCCTTTGCTGCTTTCCAAATGGAGATCTAGCCTTTCATTTTGTTTAACTTGTTTTATTGCAAAATTGTCAATTAGTTAGATATTGAATAATCAGATTATGCTTATCACAGTGTAAAAATATATAGGTTTTTCTGTTTAACACTACTTGATATTTGACACTATAATTCTTTTGCAGGGTGCTGATTGCATATGAGAATGGACTGATAATTCTCTGGGATGTTTCTGAAGGTCGGGTTCTTTTTGTTGGAGGTGGTAAGGATCTCCAGTTGAAGGATGGGAATGCTGATTCCCAAAATGGGCTTGATGCTGATCCACAAGACAATATGTTTTATAATCACTTACAAGAGAAAGAGATAACTGCTCTTTGCTGGGCATCGTCCAATGGGTCCATTCTTGCTATTGGATATGTAGATGGAGATATCTTGTTTTGGAAAACATCAACTGCTTCCTCTGGTAAAGGTCAACAAAATGAATCCTTGAGCGGCAATGTCGTTAAGCTGCAATTATCACCTGCTGAGAGGAGACTACCTGTTATAGTTTTACACTGGTCTGCAAGCAATAGATCCAGTAATGGTTGTGATGGTCAACTCTTCATCTATGGTGGTGACGGAATAGGATCTGAAGAAGTTCTAACGGTGAGTTATTCCAAAGTTATTCAGCACTTTTTATTGTTTGGTACACTACCATTTGTCTGTTTGTTGCCATCTCCTTTTTGTCTTGTGAAAATCTTAAAAGAGTCAAATGCATGCCTTAACAAACAATTAGTGGTATTGGCAAAGGCAATATGGCTCTCAAGGATAGAGAATACCTTGGATGCTATTTTCCAATGAAGGATCTTTTGCAGGTTGGGTTTAGCCATTGTAGCATTATTTTGTTAAAGTAAAAATAAAAAAAATAAAAAAAAAAAAAAAAAAATATTTTGTAAAGTAATAAAAAACATAAAAAAAAAAAAAAAAAAAGTAACAAACTATATTTCAAACATCCCAGAAGTCTATGCAAAAAAAAAAAAAAAAAAAAAAAAAAAAAAAACATAACAATATATTCCAAACACAGAGTTATCTGTCATTTCACTTTCGGATTGTAGTTAACTGATGAGCAGTTAATGAGTTAAGTGAAAGAGGTTTTCATTTCTAATTATTTGACATAGAACTCTAGGTGAATTTTGTTTGAAAATTTTGGTCTTTTTGGTTGTTAGACAGACATTAAGTATTATTGAAAAAGAGTATTGTTCCTACTTCCTAGGCCACTGGACATCTCATTCTATCTTTTTTTCTGGCAGCTTGCTCTAATCCACCTAGTTCCTCTGAACACATAAGTTTTAAAAATTTTCAACCATTAAGCCACTTTCATTGATCATATAACAGCTTTAGGTTGCAAATTAAGGGCTTTTCTGCATTGATATAAATCATAAAGTAAAATTCATCGATAGTAAAATCAAAGCAATTCATGAAGCTATAACAGCTGGAAACTGTATAAATAACGTCTAAAAGGTTGGTTTGTGGCTCATCATTTTGCCATAACAATCCTGATGGTAATACTAACACCTTTGCTCTCCTGAAAAGAACCCAGCCAGCACATTGGAACTATCCTTCTCTTGGGGATGTTTTTAATAATATAATGTTTTCAATTAGGAGATCATGTGTACCATGAAAGAGGAAAGCCTTATTTACATAGAAAGAAACAGGTAAAATAGAATATGTTAACAAATTATGCAGGTCCAACTTTCACAGAAAGTTTCATATGGAATTCTCTGTCATTCCAAGAATTGGAGTTTGGATCATTTAATGGTCTACATAATGAAAAATGACATATTATGTGTTAACTGGTTTTACTAATATTTGCTTTTCTGCGTAATTGTCATCCAAGTAATGTAGCTTTTGCATTGTTGAATTGGTGTTTGAAATATTTTTCGTTTCTTTTTTATTGATTAAACTTAAGCAGTTGCTGTAATACATGATCTGGTTGCTGCAGGTTCTGACTCTAGAATGGTCCCCTAGGATGGAGACATTAAGGTGTACAGCTCGTGCTGACCTCACACTTACTGGGTCTTTCGCTGACATGATTTTGTTACCACATGCTGGGTTAACAGGGGGTAATAACAAACCAGCTCTTTTTGTACTCACAAATCCAGGACAAGTGCATCTTTGTGATGATACTAGCTTGTCTGCCTTGCTATCTCAGCAAGAGAGGAAATCATCTGTCTTAGCTGTGAATTTTCCTTCAGTTGTACCTATGGGTAATCCACCCATAACTGTGTCAAAACTATCTGCATTGGCCATGGGTGCAAATTCATCAAAATTTCTGTCTGAGGTATTAGCTCCTAAATAAATGTTTTTACTTTTAATTGATATCATTCAGTGCTGTGTGATTTTGATATGATTATATTGTTTCACCTGCAATGCTCAGATAGCCTCAGTTAAAAAACAAGGCACTACAGATGCCCAGACTGTCGATACAAACTGGCTCTTGACTGGGGGTGTGCCTGCTCATTTGTCTTCTACTGAACATACTGGTGTTGAAAGAGTCTATATAGCAGGTTATCAAGATGGATCTGTGCGAGTTTGGAATGCCTCATATAATGTCCTATCACTTATTTGCATTCTAGAAGGCAAGGTAGACCGTCAGGTTCCTTCACCAAAGTTTAATCAGCTGCTACTTTGACTGTGCAATTAGTAACCTTATATGATTGGCAGGTGGAAGGTGTAGAAGTTGTAGGCTTTAATGCTCCAGTATCAAGTTTGGACTTTTGTTCCCTCACCTTAAATTTAGCTGTTGGCAATGAACATGGACTGGTGAGAAATGTTTCTCCAGTGCCCCCACCCCCTTTTTTCTCTCTCCACCACATTTCCCTATCAAGTATTTTATGACCTTGTCATATGATATTGACATGTAGGTTCAAATTTATAACCTCGATGGCAGCTCAGATGAGAAAAGTTTGCACTTTGTGACGGAGAGTAAATGTGAAGGTAATACAGAGGACAAGCAACCAATTTGCTTTTGTTACAATTCATTATCTTTTATAGCACATGGAAATTTTGGAGGTTCAAGTTTGGTTTGGGCGTAATTTTGCATTCTCGATCCTGATCAATTAAATAGAATACTTGTTCTCTCAAGTATATTGGTAAATTTTTCAAACAGAAGACTTGCATTGCAGATATTCTATTATCATAGCTGATGTGAAAATTTCAGAATTCACTGTTTTAGTTTGAACTGGAGAAAATTGTTAGACGGCTGAGAATCCAAGTGGTCGACTTTATAGCATCCTCTCTTTAAAAAGATTCTATGCAAAGAACGAAGCTTGTGTATGAAAATATTGAATTAAGACTAAATATATAACAGTTCAAAAAAAAAAAAAAAAAAAAAAAAAAAAAAAAAAAAAAAAAAAGTAAGTCTGTAACTTAGATTTTTTGTTATTGTCAACCAAGGAGCTCTGGAAACAAAAAAAAAAAAAAAAAAAAAAAAGTAAAGTATTATTAACTTAGATTTTTGTTATTGTCAACCAAGGAGCTCTTGGAAACAAGAGAATATGATTGGTGGTTAAGTAAACCACGATTTGCAATCTTGTGCTTCATTTATTTCCATGTATCCAGACTGTAATTTCAATACAGATAGTAGACAAGCAACATTACTTCACAATGATTTAATCAGTTCATCTAAGTGACAATGAAAATACTGCATGTCCATTCACTGCAAAAATTAGCACTTGATCGCTGTCTTACATTTATCTTGGCTTTTTTTGACTCGTTTTAGACCCTTTACTTTCTCAATCTTACATATCTATTTGCCTTATAGTTCACAATTTACCAAAAGTGAAAGGACGACCCCATTGTAGAGCTGTTCTTTCTCTTCTTAATTCACCAATTCATGTGCTAGCGTTTACAAATTCTGGAGCTAAACTTGCTGTGACTTTTGAATGTGGCAGGGTGAGTATCATGTCTTTTCATTTGTTCTTTGTCTTCGAACTCTTTTGTGCCAACTTAGGCTATCATTCCATACTTTTAGCTTTCTTGTTCAGATGGATTTGATATTTATGCTTCAGGTGGCGGTCCTAGACATGAGTTCATTATCAGTTCTATTCTTCACAGACTGTGTATCTAGCTCCAGTTCCCCCATAATTTCAGTGACTTCGATAAATTGTGAAACTGGTGACCTTGTAAAAGGTCCAAAGCATTCAGAACCTAATGTTCTAGTGAACCCTGCAGAGGAACTCATGTTTTTCTTAACCAAAGATGCAGTTCTTAACATTATTAACAGTGGGAGCGGTGGTACAATCAGCTACTATCAATGGCGCCCAAAGAAGAAATCAATTGCAATTTCCATGTCTGTTATAGGCAAGTATAATGTGAAATTAGAAACCAATAGGAAGACATTTTCCTTACCTAATCTCTGGCTGTGGTTGCTAATTCTTGAACTCTGGAAACATTATTTTATTTATCACAGTGGATAATACTTCAGCCTCTGGCTCCACCAATGGAAAGCATCCAGAGGAGGCTAGCAAGGATTTGGGTACCAACAAGAATCAAACTATGGGTAAAACTTCTTCAACTGGGATTGGCTCAGATAGCGGCAAACATCAATCCTCTTCAGCTATTGCACTCACCAGGGAAGCACTAATGGATTCACTCATTTTGCTTTCTTGTGAGGATTCAATGCGTTTGTACTCAACAAAGAATGTGATTCAGGTAGCTCTGTTGCCTTTTTTTTTATCATTCCAACAGCAAACTCTGTTCACAAGCTAAATGTTTTAATTATTGTTTAGGGAAGCAATAAGTCCATTTTTAAAGTGAAACATGTGAAGCCTTGCTGTTGGACTTCAGCATTTAAAAAAGATGGCAAAGTTTCTGGACTATTCTTGTTGTTTCAGACTGGTGTGATTGAAATCAGGTAGTAAGCATAAGATAATTAATAAAAGAATCTTGACTATGTAGCATAAATTACCCTCTCAACTGAATTTTTTTTTTTTCCTGTTTTTTGAAAACACACCATGCTAGCATACTATTGTCAACTTCTTTTGATATTAGTGATACCTGTCTCTGCAGATCTTTTCCAGATCTTAAACTGGTTAAAGAAAGCTCCTTAATGTCAATTCTTAGGTGGAACTACAAAGCAAACATGGAGAAGATGATGAGTTCTGACAATGAGCAGATTTCTTTGGTATCATTTGTTTATGATTTTTGAAATTGTTAGTTGCTGGATACTCTGGATGCTTCAATTAGATGGTTTTTTTCTCATTGTGAGGATTCTGCAGGCAAATGGCTGTGAGTTGGCCTTCATCTCGCTACCTTCTAGTGAAAATGGTCTCAGGTATCTTAATCCATGTTTAGCCAATGCTCAAATGCTATAACAAAAGTATTATAGCATAAATTCGAATCTAACTGCAGTGCTTTTCTAGGGTACTGGACACTTTTCCTTGTCTTCATGATAAGGTCCTTGCTGCTGCTGCTGATGCTGCTATCAGTATGTCTTCAAATCAGAAGAAAAAGCAGGTTCAAATTAATGGCGCAAGTTTTTACTGTTTCAGATATATGTATTATATTTCTTTCCCTTCTTTTTTCTTTCTTGTTTCTTTGCTGAAGCTTATATGCTTTGTCACAGGGTACTAAACCTGGTATTCTAGGTGGTATTGTCAAAGGCTTAAAACAAGGGAAAATAGAACAGACTACAGAAATTACTCCAACACCTCAATCTAATTTTAGTCATCTAGAGGGCATTTTCTCAAAGTCTCCTTTCTCAGACTCATCTCCAGTTATTAAAGATACTCAGGAAGCTGTGGAACTTGATATAGGTTATATTCCATTTCTATCTTCACCACATTGTTTTCTCTTAGTTAATTGTCTCACTGAACTCTTTCCTGTAAGTGCAGATGATATTGAGATAGATGAATCTCCTCTAGTCATGGAAACTTCATCACAGGAAGTGAAAAAGACAAAGAAAGGTAGTTTATACTTTTCGATATTAAATGTATATGTTAACGTATTGATTATTAACAATATGATTTTCACAACTACAGAAAAGGTTACAGAAAGGGAACAGTTACTAGGCAAGGCTGATGATATAAAACCCAGACTTAGGACACCCGAAGAAATTATAGCTCAATATAGAAAAGCTGGGGTAATGTCACAGATAGTTTTAGTAATCAGCTTCTATTCTCCATAGTAATATCTGCTTCAATAGATTACCTTATTTGATGTGGTAATTGCTTTCAGGATGCCTCATCAGTTGCTGCACATGCAAGAAACAAGCTTGTAGAGAGACAGGAAAAACTGGAGGTACGATAATTAGGATTATTGTAGAACTTACTAGTATTTTTATATAATAGAGACAACCACATTTACTTTGTTAGAGCTACTCATGAACATCTAGTTTCGCAGCTATTCTACCTACATTTTGCTGATCGATGATGATGAGAGAAAATATGATAATCCTATCAATTATGTAAATTTGAGTTTTCCCTTGTACTATATTATCGTTATCCATGAAGCATATACTGAACAAATTATATATTAAAATTGTACTGCCTTATATAGAGACTCTCTGTAGGCTATATTTGTTACATTTCCATTCAAAACTTAGTAAATGCATCTTAGTCTGTTCTTCTATGTCCGTTAAATGCTCACTGATGGTCTTGAATGGCTTCTAAGATGGCTTTTAATCCATGCACCAGAGAATTAGCAGACGCACTGCAGAATTGCAAAATGGTGCTGAAGACTTTGCGTCAATGGCAAATGAGCTCGTTAAGGCAATGGAGAATCGAAAGTGGTGGCAAATATGAACAAGGGACAGTCTGGTTTGGTTTGATTACGTTTTTTATTCATTTACTCGAAAGACCTATTCAGGCATCGGGGAGTTCTCATCCCAGGTACTTCTATTTTTGGTCTCACATACAATTGGCATTATAGCTGATAACTAAGACTTTAGAGCTTGAGCTTTCAACATATACTTCATCTTTGACGTAAAGCAGATAATGTAAACCACAGTTTACTTATTATTATTATGTTTTGGGAGGAGAGGGTGTAATTAGGTGAAATGTTTGTAAATAAAGCTGGTTGCATTTTTTTTTCTTTTTTTCCACATTCCTTGTACACAGGTTTTTGTTTCAGGCTCTAGTTGAGTGTTGTTGGGATTAGCGGATTGGTATTATCGACTTAGTAGATTTAGAGTGGTTAGAGGCTTTCAACAATATGAATGAGAGCTTTGCATGGAGTGTTAATTGCTGAGGATGTTGCTGAGTTGTGGATGGGTTTATATTGATCAGTGGTGGAGGTGTTGATACGTAATAAGGTCGAATAGTGGTGTGGAATGTGTGGTTGTTGAAGTGAGTGAGGAAGGCTCAGATCTAAAGGTTTTAGTGCTGGTGATTAAATGATATTTTTGGTAATGTATTGGGTGAGTATGTATTGATTGTGGATGGTAGGATAGTAGGGTGTGAAGAGGTTGGTTGAGTTGAGTTGTGGGGTGGTGGTGAGTTGAGGGTTGAGTGGATGGTTGTGATTGATAAAGAGGGTAATATGGCGCGTGGTTGCGTATTCAAGTAGGCTTTAGGTGTTTTTCTTTTTATGTCGTTGTCATCTGAAGGGTTCGCTGTGTGTATAGTCTATACTAGGTGTGGGTATGTTATTGTTTTCAGGCTTTAGATGAAAGGAATTTGCGGAGAGCTATGATTGTGTGTGAGTGTTATTTGTTAGTGTTTCTGTTTCGTGAGTTGACTGTGCTCTGCGGTGTGATGCATGCTGGGATAATGGAGAAGAATCGGGGGAAAATTCTCCAGTTTTGATTGATATGATTAATGGAGCGGGTAACTCTCAGCCAGGTTAGACGGATAGTACCGAAATCAATAATCCCAAAAATGTTAGCACTAGTTGGAATTGTTGATTATTTATTTTTCTCCTGGATAGTGAAAATTAATTACAAGCAATTAAATGTTTGTTTTTTTTTTTTTTTTTTTTAATAATGAATTGTGAGCTTTTTTTTTTTTTTTTTTTTTTTTAATAATGAACCTTGTGAGCTTCATGAATATATAATTAAACTCCAGAAGTCAATAGTCAAATTGATAGTACCATTCTTGAAAGTGGAAATTTTTTTTAAAGCAAATTTAAGCATCTACAAAAGTAACATTCTAACTAAGTTGGTGTTGTGTTGGCAATTTGAACTTGGATTTGATTTGATTAAAATTCATTATTTGGATTGTCCAACATTAATGTATTTACATATGAATAGAATGAACGTTAAGTTTTAAGAGTTCAAATACAATGAAATCAAATTATAAAAATAAGTAAAGGAGATTCAAGAAGAGTTGTGGTTATGTATATACAACATGAACCTCATTCGATTCACAACAAAATAGTTACTCATAGAATAGCTAGCTATTCCCAACTTTGTTTCAAGTGTAAATGCAGAATAACTTTTCCCTATGATCTTAAATTTTTGGTTGAAGTTATATATATATATATGTAGTAGTCTACTATGTGTAGATAGATATGTTTCAAACTTAAAACATAAATTTTGCAGAGCGATGGTAGGTATATAGTTATTCTTTTTCTTACTACTACACTCTGCGAAACAAACAAGGCCACAAAATTTTAGAAACTACCCTCAAATTCTTCCTTGTGTTATTGGCAAATAGCTAAGTGTTTTCAGAAGTAAATATTGTTATTAGCAACATATTTCAATAGCAAATATGGGAGGCTGCCTAATATCTAAAACATAAAACTGAGTTAAAGAGTTAAAAAGAAATAGCCAGAGAATTTCAGGAAAACTGAAGGATCCTAAGACCATGTAATGTCTCCCTTGAGAATGAACGAAAGCACAACTGCAGAAGTTACAAACAAGAAAAAGAAGGCCGTTGCTTACAACAATTTGTATGTGAAAAGTCTAGCTTGTATTGACCTGTCAGGGTACTAGGATCAGATATCTCCATCGCCATGAACGATTCTTGTATTAGCAAGTCTTCTGCCAACAAGATCCCTCAATTCAATTTCGCCAGGGAACCTGTTTTCCATTAGCTTCGAGAAAACCTACAGTGCCCAGTGAGAAACAATAATGAGTCACTGAAATTATTACTGAATTACAGTACGAGACATTGAACTTCAATTTGCATCAAATTTAGGTTTCAGTTTAATAAGACCAACATTACCATTCCTAAAATTTATGTAATATGTATTATTCAATTGGTTGTTTACTGAGTAAGAAAATCATCTGCCTGTTCCTTTTATTGGACTAGATTATACTGGCTTAGCATATGAAATTCTGCCTAAATTCTAACAAAACCAAAATCAAGTAATAGAGAATGAAATCAAATTAAAAAACAGTAACTGTACAAAATTGACTAATGCCTATGATGACCACAAGTGAAATTAAGTCATTATTATGCATACAGATGTGCATGACTCAAGTTGTCCCAACAAGTAATAACAACCTAAATGTCAAAAGCTACAGGAGTCATTCAAACTTCAAAGCAACATCTCAGAACTTAAGGCAGAACAAAAAGATATAAATCTTACCAATTCACCATTGCAATATACTTCAAATGCACCAGAACTCTGGAGGAAGGACTGAATAAAGTTTCCAAAAAGCCAAGTGCTTGCAATACTTCCAAATCTGTTTGCACGCAGAGAGTAATACCAAGAAGGTGGAACTGCAAATCCTAACTTTGGAAAGATTTGTTCACCTCCCATGATTAGTCCAATGATTCCGAATTGAAAAACTGGAACCACTTTGCTCAGTAAGCGCTTTGGAAGTGAGGGAGGATAATTTGCCAAAACAATATTAATCCCAGGAAATTGTGTTTCCAGCATGTTTTTCATAGTTATAGCAGTTCCTCTGCCAAATTAAAATCAAAACTTTGAAAGTTAAGAAAACAAATATTAATACAACAACAAGGAAATGTATTTGCTTCAATAAACAAAATAATTTTACCAAAAATTCATTTCTATTTTTTATGGAAAAGTCGCTTTCTACATTTCCTTATCTAAATTAACATTGCCTTTTCATTTTAACTTCAATGTAATAAATTAAGAAACAATCAATATGTATACCTAGAGATCACCATCACCAAAATTGCATTTAAGAGCAATAAGATTACCATTACCAAAATTTTATAGAAACTTATAGTATTAGTAAATTATTATTATTTATAGAACTAAATTAAAAGACTTTTACTTATTATCATGCTAAAAATTTTGCTAAAATTCTACTAAAATCTACCAATAGTGACTTTGTAGAAACTTCTATTCATATAATTTAAAATTTTATCTTATAATGATCGTGCCTGAAATTGAACCAAAACACTCTTTCAAGCAGGCATACCAATCAAAAAACTAGAGCTACCCAATATAGTTTGTCTCAGTTTGTCCCCCCTTCCTTCGTATAAATGAATTCCACAAAATTGTGGAATTCGAATGAACTCCCATTTTTGAATGTTTATATATTACAAAAAAAATGTTCATTGCAATTCTACAGTTTCAATTCTGTGGCATTGATCATGACTGAACCAAATTCCATCCAAATTGATGGAATTTCAAATGAATTCTACAAAACTTACACCTCAAGTCTTGTTTATAACCCAAATACCTCAAAAAAAAAAAAAAAGCAAAACAAAATTTCAATATCGACAGAAATTTGGAATTAAAACAAGAGATACCTATAAGAACAGGAAGCACAGAAATCAATATTAACAGTGCTGCCAGTGCCAGTGTCACCTAATCCACCAATTGCCATTGACGGTGATTTCTGCGTTTTAACAACCGAATTCAATATATTTTCTTCGAATTTAAGACTAAAAAAACAAACAGAGAAGAGAAAATGAGAAATTGAAGAAATACCTGTATAGGAAATTGAAGGGGTTTTTGCTGTTGTTGTTGGAGAACTTGATTAGGCTCTGTTTGGATGATGTTATAATCATTTAGAGCAGGTTTTGGAGGTGGTTGTATCGTAAAGAGATTTACAATATCGGTGAAAAATAGAAAGATTGGTAACCCTAAGAGCAGAAATTGAGATCGATCCATTTTCATCAATAACACTACCAGTCGCAGAGAAGAAGAAAGCCAGGGCCAGGGCCAGGGAGACGGCAAAAGAGTATGTAAAATCGAGTGCTTGCACTGGAGGGGAAAAGTTCAAATTAGTCCAAAATCTTAGAAGTTTGTACAGTATAAACCTCCAAATTACGAAATACATTTATTTATATATATTTTCATTCGAAAAATAAAAAAATTTAAAAATATTATGAAATTGAATTTATCAAATTTTAAAATTATAATAACATACTTAAAATTTTAAATACCAATAGTTATTCCTATTATAATTTTTAATATGTAAATTTTAGAAAATTATTTCTTTCCTATTGAAAATTATTATCTATACTAAATATTTCTATTATTTTGTTGTCATTTATACTTTTATTAAAAAAAAAGTTTATCTTTTATTATTTTGTTGTCATTTATACTTTTAGTTAAAAATTTTTTGACCATATTTAAATTCTTGAGTACTGGGGAGGGGAATTTAAACTTAAAATTATTATCAGGTTATATATGTATTTACCACTGGGTTATATCTTGATGTGCATAATATTTATAATGATATTTATTTTTATTCATCGCATGAAATGAAAAAAATATTTTGGTCCCTCTATGAAAAGATTATATCTCCACTACTACTTCTAATAAAACTATATTTAATCAAATATGACTATAATTTGAATTATTTCAAGGAAAAATTATTATTTAGTCCCTCATATTTTACATAATTATCCAACTAATATCAAGTTTTGCACAAATATTTAATTAGTCCCTCAAGTTTAACTCCGTCTAATTAAAAGGTCCTTCTATCTTAAAAGTTGATTTTTTTCTATCTGGCTGACTGACGTGTACCGGATTTTTTCTCTTGGGCTTCTTCTTCTCCGAGAAAGCCTTTGCAAAAGCCTCTACAATATGCTGTTGCGACTCCAGAATCATCTTCGTGCGTTTCGTCTCCATCTCCATTCTCATGGTCTCTATCTCCCTTGCCATTTCCATCTTCATCTGCTCCATTCTCACAAAACCATCTCCTAACACCTTGACTGCCGCCACCATCTCCTCCATCGGTTCTCTCTCCCTCTTCTTCCCAATTTCATCTGAACCCCTTAAAACCCTACTACTCCCCAACCCGGATCCATTCCCAATTTCATCTGAACCCCTTAAAACCCTACTACTCCCCAACCCGGATCCAGACCCAGTCCCAACTCCAAAATTAGGCTTAGAATTCGAGTTAGAACTCAAATTAGGGTTTCCAGTGTACTTCTGATCAACTTTGGCATAAAACTTGGGTCCTGGTTGAGCTATACTCACTTCGGTAGGTATTCTAATTCTAAAACCACTGCCAGCACTCCCACCAGAACCGCTTCCGCTCACATTACTGGGAGTACTTCCCCCAATTCCATTACGGTAAAGCTTATGAATGCTCCTTGTATTCATAATTGTATTTCCTTTCCATTCCTGTGATTTTCCATATAGAAACCTTGATTATCATCATCCTCCTCGTTCTCTTCCTCATTCACTTGCTGTTTGCCCCAAATAGAAGGACACTGTTGTTTCAGCATCTGTTCTTGCATCGCTTGACAATGGTACTGCAAAGACAGAGGAGACACTTAGACCCATTAGCCTATCTAAAAAGTTGAGACAAACCAAATCCACTTTCAAGTCACAAAATCCAAAACCCATTTTGTCGCTTGACAATGGTACTGCAAAGACAGAGGAGACACTTAGACCCATTAGCCTATCTAAAAAGTTGAGACAAACCAAATCCACTTTCAAGTCACAAAATCCAAAACCCATTTTGTTTAAATTAGTCTAGTTTAAAATTTTAGCTAATTAGAACTGAAATCATCATTTTCATTTTTCTTCATTTCTTGGTGACCAAACAGACCGAAACCCATATTACCCTCAAACAGAGGGTGTGTTTTTGTAGCTCATTTATAATACCTGATTCATTTGAGGAACAGAGTGGCCATAGCACTGGCTCGAGTAAAACCCAGTATTCTGATATTTTAGTGCTGTTTCTGGATTTTGGCTCCTGAGAGGACACATTAATCCTCTCCCTCGCTTGGAAGGTCATATTGGTCCACGTGAACTAGGGAGAAGTGTTTTAGTTTTTAGTCTTCAATTAATGGAAAAAAAATCAACTTTTCGGATGGAAGGATCTTTTAAACCTGAGGGACTAGTTAGATATTTGCGAAAACTTAAAATTAATTGGATAATTATATAAAATTTGAGGGACTAAATAATAATTTTCCCTTATTTCAATAACATGGATCATTGAAATTTAACATAAGGGTGCATTAAGAAAAAACAAAGAAAAAATTATACCTTAATTACATTACTCAAAATTTTCAAAACTGTGTGCAAGTCAAATAAAGATAAAAATTAACGAGCCCAAGGGGTATTAAATAAAATTTAGTTTTAATAAAGATATTTAATATTTAGAAATTTAATATTGACAAATAAAGTTCAATGACTTAATAAACACAACTCAATTAGTTCATAAATAATCAATTTTCTATATTTAAATCATGGTCTTACGAATTGGAACCGAATCGAAATCAATCCATAATAATAAGAATCAGAATCGGATCAATATCGTCAGCTTAAAATTTTGAATCTAAGTTGGCAAGTTTGATCCGGTTCAAATTGAAAATTATATTTTTATTTTAATTTATAATTACTTAGTATATTTTATGTACTTCTACAAGTCTAAATAAATTTGTTATTATATGATACATTTAACTTAAAAGTTAAAATTTTTTTAAAAAATAAAAATGGTAAAAAAAAGTGTTGTATTTTTTGATACAAATGGGAACTTAATAATATTATTTTGCTTCTAAATTTTTTTTACTTAGTCTAAAATTAGATTATTTGAAATATTTATAAAACTAATGAATTTTATTTTTTATCATTCTAAATTCATTTTAAAATAAAATTTATGAATTTTTTTTATACTTGCTTACTTTTTTCAAGAAAAAATACATAAATTTAAAAATAAAATTCTATTATTTTTGTGAAAAAATTAATATGTATATAGTGAAATTATGACGAGAATCGGTGATCCATCGAAATCATGTTAAAATTGCCAAAAATAAAAATATAATCAAAACCTATGCACTTAAAATTGAACATATGGATTTAGGGACGAAGAGTTTTAATTATGATTAAATCTCGAGCCGAATTAGATATTTTATAGTAACAGGATTCTGATACCATAGTTTATAAAAGAAAAAAAATTGAACCGGGATTCTAATTCAATGAACCATGCCTAACTGCTGGAGATAAAGTAAGGAATGTGGTAAGAAATTTCTTTTTTGGAAAAGAATTCTGTTTGTTCGAATTATATTAAAGAAGAAAAAAAAAGGTAATTCCGTCTGATAAAGGGGCGGGTCGTCATCAAATGCGTGTCCTCACCGACCCCTGTATTAAACATGACAAATTAATCACCAATCAAAATCCATCCTTGAATAGGTCAAACCTCAACTCGCTGCCGGTGGTAAACTTTCTCGCCAACCAAACAGAACGTAGACCAACTTGCACTCGTATTTTACTTTTTTCGGCCTTTCTTATTCCAACTGTCGCAAGCGCCCAAGTAACTGGAGTGTTTATGTTTCGTCCACTGATTCCTACAGACGATAGAGAACTATAAGAAAGTAAAGGCAAAAACGTGAGGTTCTTGTTCAACCAGCAATAGAGGTTTATATACCCTTGTATTATCTTTTTCTCGTTTCTCTCTGCTTTTGCGGGTAAGGTTAAGAGAGACCCGGAAAGAATTTCTCTTTGTAACTTCGATGGCGAGTTGGGTCTTATCAGAATGTGGCTTAAAGCCGCTTCCTCAATTCTTCGCCAGACCCAGAACCGGTGCCGTTTTGCGCACCAATTCATCAAAACCCAGATTTTTGCAGACAAGCAAGACAGTTACAGATCTAAGACAACCCTTTTCTTTTGGAGAGAGAAGTTGGAGGGTTAAAGTGAGTGCTCCATATAGAGTAGGAGAGGAAGAGAAGGGAAATGAAGAAATAAAGGGTGCTATTGGGATTATAGAAGAAAAAGAAGGTAAATTTGATCCAGGAGCGCCGCCACCGTTTAAATTGTCCGATATTAGGGCAGCTATACCAAAGCATTGTTGGGTTAAGGACCCATGGAAGTCAATGAGCTATGTAGTTAGAGATGTCGCTGTGGTTTTTGGTTTAGCTGCAGCTGCAGCTTATCTTAACAATTGGGTGGTTTGGCCTCTGTATTGGGCTGCTCAGGGAACAATGTTTTGGGCTCTGTTTGTTCTTGGCCATGATTGGTAATCACTCTCTTCCTTTTGCAGATCTGGTTTCTATTTGGCTTGTTTTCTTGCTGAATTCTGTTGCTAATTTGCTTTCTCTTGGTGTTTGGATTGATGCTGTAGTGGGCATGGAAGCTTTTCGAACAATCCCAAGCTAAATAGTGTTGTTGGGCACCTTCTTCATTCTTCAATTCTTGTACCTTATCATGGATGGTAATATATGTTGCATGTTTTTCAATGTATTTTCTTGTATTTGTAATTTTTAGGATTTAATTAATTTGGTTAGTAATTTACAGGAGAATTAGCCATAGGACTCATCATCAAAACCATGGACACGTTGAGAATGATGAATCATGGCATCCGGTTAGTGATTTATCCAATTTTTATGGATTTTTTATTCAGAATTGATGATTATAGGCCATCAAGCTTAATTAGTTACTGTTTTGAATTGCAGCTGCCTGAGAAAATATTTAGGAATTTGGACAACATTACAAGAAAATTGCGCTTCACTGTTCCTTTTCCAATGCTTGCCTATCCTTTCTATCTTGTAAGTCTTTGATATCCTGTTAAACAATTTTATTTAAAGAAGTTCAATTGTCTAGCAGAGAAGAACATTAGACGTGATGCTGATACCCTGACATGACTATTCTGTGTTTTGTTGGGTATCACGTCTCAGAAGTGTTCATAGTAGTTCATTGCTGATAAGTTCTTCTATGTTCCAGTGGAATAGAAGCCCGGGAAAAACTGGTTCGCACTTTCATCCAGACAGTGACTTGTTCTTGCCGAATGAAAGGAAGGATGTGATTACTTCCACCATATGCTGGACTGCGATGGCTGCTTTGCTTGTGGGCTTATCTTTTGTAATGGGTCCTATTCAATTGCTTAAGCTGTATGGAATCCCATATTGGGTAAGTTTTAATTTTTTTTCTAACTTTTGGACATATATTTTTGACATCATAAAAAGTGAAAGTCTTAACTTGACTTTGCTTTGCTATTAGGGTTTTGTTATGTGGCTGGACTTTGTAACGTACTTGCATCACCATGGTCATGAAGAGAAACTTCCTTGGTACCGCGGAAACGTAAGCATTTCTTTGTTAATGTTTCCCTTTTCTTGTGTCATCATATTTCAAGTTTTGACGCTACCTTTAAATTCAAAGATTTGAAAAGTTAATAGAACCAATGTCATGTCTATGTCGAGAATTGGTGTTCAATATTGAATCTTTTGTAAAATAGTAATTACACTGTCAAAAAGTTGTCAATGGAGACTGTCTTGTTTGGCAATGAAGTTGTGATTTGAAATCAAATTTGACAGGAATGGAGTTATTTAAGGGGAGGACTGACGACACTTGATCGTGATTATGGATGGATTAATAATATCCATCATGACATTGGAACCCATGTTATTCACCACTTATTTCCTCAAATCCCTCATTATCACTTAATTGAAGCAGTGAGTATTTCTTTAATCTACTAAGCAAACTTGCATATGCAATTGTGAGGAGCAATCTCTTAGTATCTAAAGTGAGCTCCCTAATGTTTCTCTAATTTTTTGTTCTTTGATATTTTATCTAGACTGAGGCAGCCAAACCTGTGCTTGGCAAATACTACCGGGAGCCAGAGAAATCAGGGCCTTTACCTTTTCACCTAATTGGAAGTTTGGTAAGAAGCTTAAGGAAAGATCACTATGTTAGTGATACTGGAGATGTAGTTTACTACCAGACTGATCGGCAACTTAGCGGCTCGACATCAGAGTAGGACGCGTTTCGATACAGCCTTGGGCTCTTCACAGTTGGTTTCTTCACGTAGCTTCAACGGGTTGTTTGATCTTTGTATTGTGAAAAAATGGCCAAGGTCAGTTGATATCATTATATTCCACAGTGCTCATCACAGGAAAATTATTTTTCACTAGAGGGTGATTATGATGCCTGCATAAAATTGTTGTAGCTGCATTTTTAGTCAAGGTAGAAGATATAGATTGGGTTTTTTTTTTTTTTTTACATTAGTGCTGTAATTTTGAGGGAAAAATTGTATCCTATCATTTGTTCTTGAAGAGGAAATCATCTCTTCAGCTAATTACATAATATATTGGTCAATTTATTCATTGCTGAAGAAAATTGAGGTAAAAGCCTAACAATTTATTCATATTTCTTCCTCTTTTTGCATTTTTAGTATTATACCTATTTTTTTTCTTTCAAAAAAATTCATATTTTTTAAATTTATTCATGTCTCATTAGATTTTATAGCTATGAGACTAAATTCCTTCATAGTCAGTGTTTTAACTAACCAAATAAAGACTTATTTTAAAGGAAAATGTTAATAATCTTTAATTAATATATTTTAAAATCAACTATCAAGAGACCAGATAGGATGAGTTGGACTAGTGAACTTTCAATATTTTTCACTTAAAAAAAAATATTTTAAAATCATATTTTTTATGACTGAAATAGCAATAGGCCGAACAAAAAACTTTTAATTGTAAACATCAACTTATCATTAACGATTAATCATTCAAAAAAATCAACCATCAAATCACATTTTTTTCCTGGAGTTCCATCAAAATCATGTCAACAAACGGTAATATGCTATTATGTAGTTTTGTTCTGATGTTGTGTCGTTTTCTCTCTGATGTGGTAAAGAAGATACGGGGCCTCGCAAGTGCAAAATTGTGGCAAGCAACAGTACAGAGAAAGTGCCAAAATGATAAGAGTTCGAGCCATCCATTCACAATACAATGAAAGTTACATCACATGGATCAGAAGATATAATCAAATTTTGATGGCCACAATGAATCCGGAAAAAGCATAAATTTTCCTCTTTACTGCTTTAGCTGTACGCCACCTCATATTGAGATCTATTTTTCAATTTGCATACCCGTTTTTATTTGAACCATGATGAAATTTAAATAAAATAAAATATTTTAATTGTGGAAATTTTAAATTTAAATTTTTAAAAATTCGTATTATCCAACCCTTTAATATAATATCAGTATTAAGATTTTAATCTTAGGACTCATTAATTGATCGAGTCGCCTTTACGTAGATTGTATGGAGATTTTAAAATGTTTCATGTGTCAGATTTCTAACACCCTTAGAATATTTACATATGTGTTGGATACTCTGAAAACTATGTCTTATTATTCTTTTAATTTTATTAATTTCTAAAACATTAAAAGCTTGAAAAAAAAAAAAAAAACCTTAAACTATAAAAATATTCTCAATTATGCATCTTATTATAAATAAACTCGAAAATGACCTTTATAATCTAGGCACCACCATTTTAAAACTTCCATACATTATTAGCACCTTAAATTCGAGTTGAGATCACAAATTGGAATAAATTGCTATTATGGTGGGACCCATTGTTTAACTTTGGGTTCGTTAACACAAGGACGTAAAATTCATCGTTTTAGTCTTGTATAAGCGACTTGCTGATAATCTCTCTGTTTTTATTTCTATCTGCAGTTCTCATCTGTGCATAAATGTCCAATTCTAATACAGTGAGATTACATAAGTTACTTTGCTTTTCCGAGAGAGTTTGTCATCTTACCATAGTTTCTTCTTCATCACTTGTTCAAGAATTTAACAACTCTTTCTCATCTAGAAAGAGATTGAAAGTTTCAGATTTTGAGCATCAGGAACTAGATTTGCAAACCTATATTGGTGCTGCATCAAAAGTCAGTTGAACACAAGTGAGTGCTCATATCATTATCTTATTGACATTTGATTCCGTTTTGATGAGATAAACGTTTGCAAGGTTTTTTTTTATTATTATTTTGAAAGCAGACATGATTTGGAATTTTAGAATAGTCCTTCAATGAGTTAAATTTTTTTTCATAGGTTTAGGAGAAGTTGTACCAAAACGATGACTTTTGCATCTTCAAGTTTATTAACCTAAGGTCAAGTAATGGGTCCCATCATAATATTATTCCAATCTAATTTAAGGTTTCAGTTCAAATTTAAGGTGTCAATATATTTAAATTTCGAAATGGGAGTTTTCTGACTATAAAAATCATTTTAAAATGATTTTGCAATAAGACGCATAGTTGAGAGTATTCTTGTAGTTTAAGAAAAAAAAAACATCAAAAACTTTTTTAAAACACTTTGAAAACCTTTAGAGATATTTTTAAAATTTTATAAGATAAAAATATTAATTAGATAACTTTTTATTTAAAAATTGAAAATTAAAGGGGAATAAAAGAAGCCAAAAAAACATTAAATTATTATTTACAATTTGTCGAATTATTGTCAAATTCAAGAGTTAATTTACGACATTAAATTGTTATTTTTATTTTAATTAAATAAAAAATGCAATGTATTTAATTTAAAATTAAATATAATCAAATTGAGTGACGTTGATGTAACATTATATACTACACTTGTAGTATTGATCACTGATTCTGATTACATCCATGGGCAGGGTTAGTTAGCATTCGGGTATGAAAAAAAATCAGTTCGATGTGATTGAATATTTTTAGATTATAATCAAATCCAAAATCAAATAATATAAAAATTATGTTATATCAAATCATTTTATTTATTTTCGATTTAAAAATAAATTTGGTTAGATATATAAAACCGAACCCAAATTGATAACCAATCGGTTTTCACTTTTAAAAATAGAATAATGACTGAAATTTGGAAACATCAAGCCAAACTGGTTCGGTTTTGGGTTATAACTGATTATATGAGTGGATTGATAGAAGGACTCAATCTAGCTTGCTTTGTGTGTGGCCCAATTTCCCAAACAAGCCTTTAATAGATTATGGGCTTTTTTAAAAATATCGGGGTGGCCCAATTTAAGAAAGCAAATGAAGCAATATATGGTCAGCAAGTCACGTTCAGGTGAGTCGGTGAGAGTGATCTTCATGGTAGGCCCCACACTTTAGAAAAGGGTTACATTGCAATACTCAATAGTCAACAAACGCGGCTCTAACCCGAAATTCAATTTTCTTTCTTTTCGTTGAAATTTCAATGCCCAATTGTACGAAAAACACACAAATAAATTGCGAAATCCAAAACATTTTTCTGTCTTAGTCCCTTTTTTTTAATCTTCCGTTTAAAATTTTAAATTAAATTTTAAAAATTATTACTATTCTTAAATCTGTATATATTTTTACGTATATTTTTTAAATTCTTAATTTCATTAAATTTATTTTGTAAACTCAGTTTTAACTCTTCGCTGTAATTTTTATTTTACTAGATTTTTAATAAATTTAAGTTGGAATAATTTTTTTAATTCCAATTTGTTTTATTTTTATTTGTTTTATTTTATAAAATTATAAACTAAACCACCACTAAATAGATTGTCACCCGTGAAATAATATTTTAAGTTTTTTTTTTTTTTTTTTTTGCCATGCAAAGTCGCGAGCGCGAGAAACACACAAGAGGATCAGAGAGTTTACAGGCCAAATTCGCAAGAGCGCAATGAATTTCACGAGCGCGAGAAGTGCAAAATGAGAGTCAGAGAGTTTACAGGCACAATTCGCTAGCGCGCAATGAAATTCGCGACCTCGCTTTGTGTTTTCCAGCCTGCGCAGTCTGTACTCTTTTGGTCATATCTCTCAATCTATAATTCCGATTTGGGTGATTCAAAAATCCATGGAAAGCTAACATTCTATTTTTATATAGAAAATCCTTATCTTTTTATATGGTTGGAAGTTACAAAACATTTTTTTACTAGGAATAATATTTATGTTACATCCTTTTTCAAACAATCTATAATTCGATTTTGCTTAATACCTTAAATATTATTATGCACTTTATTTTAAAACTATTAATTAATACTTTAGAATACTATTTATCAGTAATTCATTTGCTGATTACTTCACTAGAACTCTAATCTATTCAATCAATTTGAATTAATTAATAAAATTAAATTTAAGATAAATAAAAATATGATTTGTCGGACCAATGGGTCAAACCTGGTTTTCGGAATAGTACTTTATAGTAACTGAATGACATGTAACGCTATTTTTTAAAAAGGAAATTGCATCGCATCACATTATCTTTCAATTTTCAACCTTCTCGCCTTCTTGGTGTGAAAGCAACAACCCACCTTCTTGCTCTTCTTCTACCACTCAACACTACTGCCCAACAAAAATAGCATTCAAATCCAAATCCTGCGCCCGCCTCTCTCTCTCTCTCTATCATTAATTCTCTTTACACCATACCTCTACTGATGATTTGCCACGTTATATAAAATAAAATTTGAAAAAGAAAGAAAGAAAGAAAGAGATCATCCTTTTAATACAAAACCTCTCTCTTTCTTCTTAATTTCTCACTCCCTTTCTCTCCCTCCTTCCCTCTTTCCCAACTAAACAAATAACTAAGCAATGCCCAGCTCAAACAGCAGAACAGCAACTCCTTCTGGTTGTTTTTCAAGCATAGCTCGCCTCCTTCTTTGCAAAGGTAGCCTCCAAACACACCCTTCAGATCAAATTACAGATCATGTTCATAATACAGCAACAGAGTTCAAAAATCTAAATGAAGCATCAAAGCATGACCAAGTCAACTTTAAAGTCAAAGTTGAAGCTTCAGCCGCTGCAGCTACTCCAGGTCCAGGAGTAGTAGCCAGGTTGATGGGCTTAGATTCTTTACCGGATACTAATCGGATTCCAACAAATGGAAACACTGTTACGCGTAGTCGGTCAGTGAATTTTATGGATTATTTGTTTGAATTTGATTTATCACAAGCTCATCATCGTAGAGTAAAAACGTCCCTGTCGTTTCGCGACGTACCGACATTACAGAATCAGAAGAATAATGACTTCTTTCTTCTTTATTTGGATAATATAGAGAAAACCAAGAAAACTCGACCTAATAAATTTAGAAAAGCTGAAGTGGGTCTTGAAGAGAGCAACAAGAAAGAAGAGAAAGGAGCAGTAGATGTAAGGAAGGAAAAGAAAAATCAAAGAAACAACAATTTGAAGATTTCTAAGTTGAAGGATGAGCCAAGAAAGCAAGTCATGCACGATAATAAACAGTTTTCAAGACCTGGTAGTTGTAAAGGAGGTCAAGTTTCTTCTGGGTTTGTTTCGCCTAAAAAAGTTAAAGATCGTAGAGTTCCCAAAGGAAAATCAAAATGTGCAGTAAAGCCAATCAACCAGAAGGAGGTGCTGGTTGAATCGAAGCTAATGAAGAAAATCAAGAAACAACGTGCAATGAAAGATTTACAGTGTTATTCTGAGTGTAGTTCAGATGATTCAAGTCCAGTTTCTGTTCTTGATCTTGACGAATTTCCTATTTATGATGATCAAACTTCTTTATCACCAGGTACTCACTCTACCAAATTTCCTGTTCTCTGCTTAGTCTTTTTCTTCAATTTTCTTAGCTAATTGAATTCTGATTCTTAATTAATTTTGCTAAGCAGATTGTACAATTGGTCATCAAAATTCAAACCCAGAGAAGAAATTTCCACCCAAAGCGACTGACTTTGAGTACTGTTTTTCACATCCTGCTCGCTTATTAAACACTTGTGATAATGCTACCAAGTATTACACAGAAGTAGTAAGAGAGCTGTGCAAGTTGACAGAGGAAGATATGAAAGAGTCAAAATGGGTTTCAGAAAATGTGTTGCAGTTGGAGAGTTTTGAAGAGATGTGTCTGGATTTTGGGCAACAAATTCTGGATGTACTTGTAAAGCAATTAGTAGAAGAACTTGTTGGATTCCATAATTGAAGATTGAAATTGAATTACTTATTTCAGTGATTGATAGAAAGTGTTAAAAAAAATGTATATCCTGTAACACTGAGCAGAGTCCTTTTATTGTTTTTGTGTATTTGAGTTGTACCAGTTACTTTTTACAAATGGTTACTAAAATCATATATCAACATATTATTTTGTTTTAATAAAATTTTTTATATTTACCTACACCTGGTGTATGAAAGAACTCATATACCATACCAATCAAAATACAAAGTTTTAAGAAAATATTATTATTTTATTTTTTTGGGTAAAAAATATAATCGTTCAACTGTTTGTGATTAGTTTATTGTGTAGGTAAATCTTTCCCTCCCTACTCCAATTACCTCTCACCTCTCTTTCTCTAACAAAATCTCTGATCACATGTAAGTCATCTAGTTAATATTACTGAATAAAACTTGAGAAGTAAACAATTAAAAATTACATAACCATACCAACTGATTTAGTGGTACTTTTAATAAATAAGACACAAAGTATGCAATGTGAAAGGAGTTAGCCGCTTTGGGGTGGATAAGTGCAGTGTCTGCACAAGGGAAGCAGAAAGGATTTTTAAGGTCAGAGTCAGACTGAGAAAATGAGAACGTGTGTTTTTTATATACCAAGGAAACTTTTGTTTTGGAGTATTAAAATTATAAGACACTCCGTGTCAAACGCGCAAGAAGTGGAATGTCAAAGCAAGGTCTATTAAAGTAGAAAGAAGCTTGGGATGATGGCAGAGACTCTGTCTTAATTAGATGGAAAAGAGTGTTAAAAATGGGAAAATGATAACTAGTGTAAACATCAAACATGTGATTAACTTCTCAGTTATTTAAATAATAATTATTAATAGAATGTATATTGAACTAAGAATCAAGTTATCAAACCCACCCAGATTAACTCGGAGAACCGGATTTAACACCAAATCGATTTTACTTTTGAACCATTTAAGAAAAAGAGCTGGATTGAACTAATTAATCTATTGTTGAACCAGATGACATCCATAGACCTGGTTGATCCAGACTGATCTTTTGATATTTTTAATTATTTTTTATTATATTGTAATTATTTAATTAAATATATATTATCAATATTTTTTAGCCCACTAATACAATTGACCGGCCAATTAAATCAATAATCCATCCACCCGGTTTTTCATTCAGATCAAAGTTCGGGTTGGATTTCGTAACATTGCCATGAATAACCATTCCTAAAATACCCCACATATAGTAGACCTGGTTGATCCAGACTCGATCTTTGATATTTCTTACATTAATTTTTCTACTTTATATTAGCTAATTACTTTCAATCTAAATATATATTCACTTCAATATATTTCTCTAGCCCACTAAGTACCAATTGACCGCGCCACATAAATCAATCAACTCCATTCCACCCGCGCTTTTTCATTCAGGATCCACAAGTTCGGGTTGGACTTTCGTAACGATTGCCATGAATAAACCATTCCTAAAATACCCCACCATTAATTATATATATACTACTATAATATATACTACTATATATATTCATATACTATATAAGGTATATATACTCATATCATTATATAATTATATATATATATATATATATTATATATCATCATATATATCATTAAGAATTTCTCTTCTCATCAGATATAAACCCACTTTGTAACTACTTAAATTTATATATTAAGAATTTCTTTCTCAAGATATAAACCACTTTGTAACTATTAAATTTTTAAAATTTAAAATTTAAAAATTTTTAGAGTTTTTTATCTCTATATATAAATATCCGTATTCAAAAATTTTCTTTCACAATGGCTTTATTATTTTTTTTTTTTTATTGCCTCTTTCAATTATTTTGCTTTCAATTCTTTGTGTTTTTTTGATTATGTTGTATTTATTTATTTATTTTTGATATATATGTTATTGTTGTTTTCAGATTTTAAATAGCAAAAGTATGACAATATTAACTCTCTAATCTAGATATATCACCATCTTTTCCGACTGAGGTGATTAACTCTTCAATCTCTTTTTTTCATTCTTTTTCTTTTTCTATTTATTGAAGGAACTTTTTATGAATTTCTCTGTTTTTTTAATTATTTGCATATCATCTTCCTTTGTATTTAAAAATACAATAGGAGAACACATAGAGTCAATATTAATTATTTACTTTATACTTTTTCACAAAATAATATTTTATCTTCTTAATCTTTATATTTTGGAATATAACATTTTTAAAGATTTTGATATTTTTGGTTATTATTTATCACTCTCATATAATTATAATTTAAGCAATAGCAATGCTCTCATATAATTGATTATTTATTTATTTAGGTATAGCATTCTTTCACTAAAAAAACAAGACAAACATAAAGTGTCTGAATCTGGCAGAGCCATCTATTTTATTTTTAACAAAAAAAAATTACTCATGAACCCTTTTTTTTTTTCTCTTACTATTTAGACCTGCATATTATGAGTTTTTATATTATATATATTATATATATTTAAAACCCTAAAAAATTAGGTTTTGTTTAAAATTTTAAAAAATTTTGAATTCAAATCTTTTAAATAAAGTAAATAAACCAATAGTTAAGACTTTGTTCTTGTGTAAACTTTCTATTTTTTAATCTACTTAAGTTAAATATATTAAATTAAACTAAAAATAAATTCTTTACCTTTGGAAATTATTAGTACTAAAACTTCTTTTAATGGTGCTTCTATAGGGGTCTTCTTAAAGACTTTGTTTTGTGTAAAACTTTCTATTTTTAATCTACTTAAGTTATATATATTAAATTAAACTAAAATAAATTTTTACTTGGAATTATTATATAATAATTTTTAATGTTTCTATATTTTCTATGCTTTGTAATAATTAAATTATAAATAATATTTATCTATATATTATCCATATTAAATTATTTGAATCGTAAAAATTTTATAGATTTATCTACGATGATTTATGGTGCTTAAATTGTTTAAATTATCTATACAAATTACCTAATCAGGATATTAAATTTTATAATTAATTAAATTATTAAAATCTATGTAATATGCTAATTTAATAATGCAATGTGTGGGAAAATAGATATTTTAATAATATATTAAATACAATTTATAAAATATAATATAAAATAATAAAGCAATCAACTTGTGTAAAGCGCAGACCTTCAACTAGTTTAGGAGTAAATCAAAAGCATTTTATTGAAAATGAAAAATTCAAAGATATATATCTATAAATTGTAATAGTTTTTCATGGTATTCTTTTTTTAATCTTTAATTAAAATAAAATGCGAAATATTTGAGATCTAATAAGTAATACTATCTTGAATTTTAGGATTTATTACGGTTGTACCTTATTTTTAAACTTTTGATAATTTTTCTACTTTTCTTTTACTTCTATCGCATGGCATAAGAAAACCTTATTTAGTATCTGTCTCCTATTTTAGGTTGACAAGGCCGACGGAGGAATTGCAGACTACATGAAATTAATAATATATTGTGGGCCTCACCAGGCCTTACTATATGAGATAGTAAGGCCTCATGTTTCTTAATGGGCTCCAAATCCAAGCTTAACAAACCGAGCTAAAAAACCGAAGTTGATTTACATAAACAATAATAATAATAAAAAATAACTTGATAAAACCAAAAGTTGGAGCCTCTTCTTTCTTGAAACCTCAAAATTTCTTATTCAAATGACCATGAAAATTTTTAAAATTTTCTCAAAAAATTAAACCTTTTAAAAAATATTAAAAGTTTATTTTTAATTTATTTCTCATTGTTAATTGGTTTATTTGCCTAATTGTAAACTTTATAATTCTGAAAGAATTTATGACATTTTTAAATGATTTTAAAAATTAATATTTTGGATTTTTTTTAAATAGTTACTTTTCACATGCTAGTCAACAAATTGGTTACTTTTCCTTTTTTTTTTTTTTTTCATTTTGCCTAGAGATATAAACTAATCAATTACATAATATGAAACGTCCAATAATTTGCACCTGATTGGTCTTTTCACTTGTATGAGAAATAGGAGATTTCGAGTTTGAGTCCTCTCGACCACAGTTGCTTTTACCAATTTGATGAGTTAAGGGAAGAATTATTCCATGCTGCATAGACCGCAATGTTATTCAATTCATAAAAGCCAATAAAAAATACTTACGATAATTTAGTACTCTTTTCTGTAAGTCTATTCCCTATACTTAATAGAAAATCCAAAAGTAAATAACATTAAAAGCTACGAGGAGTGCAATTTAATAATTTCCAACTTTTGGTTGCAGATTATTCAAAGATTAAAAGGAAAAACAAATGATGAGAGATGGGAAATTGGGAAATATGTCAATAGGGCAGGTTAGAGAGAGAGAAAATTAATTCAACCGACCAAGTCCAATAACCTTTGACTTGTGTTTTATTTTGTGTTTACCGAATAACCAGCAACTTCCTTCCTAGTTCCTATAGTTTCTTATTCAATTACGGTCAAAATTAACCAAACCTAAATCATACCACGTCAGCAGCTATCGTTCCCACGTACCCATTTATATATATAAGGATTAATTATTATTTAATTCCTAGAGTTTAGTGGGTTATACAAAGGTGGAACTAGGGGTTTTAATCTACAATAGTATTTAAAAAGATAATAATGTAGCGAAAATCAATAAATATAATTAACTAAATCAATTCTTTCAAAAAAAAAAAAAAAAAAAAGCAGTAAGGTGGAACTTAGGGTTTGTAGAAATGCTATCAATATATTTAAAAAGATAACAACGATGAAGCGAAAAATCAATAATATTGGCTAATTTAAAACTAAATCAAAGGTTCTTGGTAAAAACAATAAAAAAAAAAACGTAATACTGAAACTCAATAAATTTGCTTCCACCATATTCCATACCTTTTGTTTTAAACTACAATTTTTTAAATTCTGAAAAAAAATCATTATAATATTAAGGAGATATATATTAATTTTTTTTAAAAAAATGGAATTATAAAGACGTCAAAAAAAAAAAAAAAAAAAAACGTAACTAACTGAATCAATAAATTTGCTTACATATTCCATACCTTTGTTTTAAACTAAAATTTAAATTCTGAAAAAAATATTATAATATTAAAGAAATAGTAAACGATTCATATTATTTTTTTTTAAAAAATGGAATGTATAAAGAGAAACAAACTCAGTCATATATCAAATTTATTTTTT